AGACCAAAATTCATCTTTAATTTCGTATTTGAATTTTCCAAAATTAATCAAAGTCTTATAAATGAACATGTATACGTGCACTTGCATAAGGTCGATTTCTATCCGACGCAGCTCATATATTGAAGATTTTACAAAAAAAAATTACACATATATCTATCTAGTAATTCAAAAGGTTATTCAGTGCTATATATATTGTTGTAGGGGACAGTTTTAAAACAGTATGTATAAACAAAATATTATAAAATGATATTCAAAATTTGGCATTGAAAGACATCCTTAAAATAACTAAAATGATTTGTATCTGAAATACAAGAAGAAGTGTTACTTTAGAGTTTATAAGTGTGGCGTCCATTTCGATGAACTAGTATATATTATTATTGAGGGGCCAGCTGAAACCCGCCTCCGGGTGCGAGATTTTCTAACTGTGTTGAAAACCCATTGGTAGTCTTCGGCATTTTTCTGCTCTTTGGACGGGTTGTTGTCTCTTTGGCCATCCCCGTTTCCATTCTCAATTTTATTGGTTTTTGTAAAGTATGCTATTCTTCTTCATTGTTGTGGTACAAATGTACATGTGCATACTTGTAACAATCTACCTAAGTTGCAGCTATGACCCATAATTAGGTGATATGTTTTTAAAGAAATGTCATAATGTTGTGGTTAGACCTTCAAAGTATACACAAGAAGATACCATACTCTAAATATTGATAATGATGAAGACTCTTTGGAAATTGTCCGCATGTCTAATATATTCAGGGAAATTTAGCTCTATTTTTTTTTCAGAAGAAGATACCAACATAATAATATCCGAACATGGCCATATTAAATTAGATTAATTCATAACATGTAATGAAATTGTTCATATTTTAAGTCCATATTTTGAATTGAATGTATGAAGGAGTGCCTGTACATATATATGTTACGTATATACAGGCCTGTGTTATTCTCATTTTCTGTACATACAAGACATGTACAGTAGCATGTCTTCATCCTTGAACCCCAAAGGTGACTGGTGGTATAGAAATATGGTTTTCCCCCATTGTCCTAGTATATTTCTACCACATATTTATTTCAAATAATAAATGCTTTTTGTGTATTCTTTTCATTAAAAAAAATCCCTCAGAGTCCCTATTAGAAATGTCAAGTAGTTTGATCTATTAATATTATATTTGACAATGAATTTTCGCCTCGACGCAAAAAGTTCTCTCTTATTTCGACATAACCTGAATGAAAAATGTCCGTGGTCACCAAAGATATACTTATCGAACACACATCTACAGGTTATCGTTTGTCTTCAAACATTATTACAACCTAATAACTGTATTGATATTGACACGATAAAGTAAACATAGTGAGGAATGAATGTTGTCATTTGAAATAGAGTAAAACTTTATAACTTATGCAACTTTACGATTACTTTAGTAACATTTTAAGTGGCTTGAATCAAAGATTAGTTCTTTTTTTTGTGGGTTTTCCTCCAAATGTGATTAAGTACTTAATGAAATGTAGGTATATTTGACAATGAATTTGGTATTATGTAATAATTACCCTAGCCAGAATAAGATGCCATGCTAATTCTATATTCCATTTGACTTTTTTGTATAAAATGGGTTGTAAATTTTAGATTTCAAGATGTTCCGTAACCAAAAACGTTTCAAAACTTTTCCCAAGTCAAGCCAGTAGTTTAAGAGGATAAGATGTTGAAAAGAAATATATATATTTTTACTTTAGAGTTTATTTTGTGTCGTTAGACTGCTGTCTCATTTATGTATAAACCAGCGATCCCTTTGTTCATATCCACAATCTTGACACATAAACGTATTTTGACGATATATGACCATTACTTTCACTTCAAAATATCCAAATGCATGTTCGAAAAGGGTCTACATATATTTACACGTGAACCCACACCTAATTATTACGCTGAACCATAAAATAGGGGAAATGTAAAACAAAAATGTTGAAATATTTGAATGAAAATTGATCGGATTTCGATTAAACTATTGGAAATCTATTCCTTTTGAAGTTTTCGTTGCGGCTTTATACACTTGATCAGGTAGTGTTCTACAACTGAATAAATGTGGAAAGCATCATCAATGTACATCTTCCCGTTTTAGGAGGAGTTGGCAGTGACAAGATTAATGAACAAACGGACCAGCGAATAAGATGATTCCTATAAATGTCCCCTAGAGAAGCAAAAACAAAAACAAATAAACAAAAAACAAAATCATAACAACAATAAAAAACAACAAAAAGGCAGAAAACTACAACAACAAAAAAGAAAAAAAAAGAAACCAAACAAACACATTTTGTTTGCAGAGGGGTGTGATAAAAATATTTTTATCAAATTAAAGTTGTTATTAATCGATAGTTTTGTTGTTGCTAAGAAAATATGAAATGACTGGAAATAAACGTCGTTTCACAGGTCGGTATGTACATGTACTTGCATTTTTCAAATTCAAAAGTTAACAACAGGATTATTTGTTATTTGTTTTTGTTTATTCTGCTTATTTGATTTTGTTAAGAAAAATATTGTAAGTGAAATATAGTTCTTTGAGTATATCTGATATATTTGAGTACAAGCACGCGAGTTAAGATAGATTTGAATTTTAATCAGATTGAAAAAAACACGGAACATCTTTGTTTTAAGTTATGTTTCACATCATAAGAATGCTTTATATTACCCGTTTCTTGTTCTTTTTTCAGGCAGATGACGCTAGATTGGCCCTCCACGTGTTTAGGTATACAGCGTACATGAAAATCCAGAAAAGTGCTTTGGACGCACAGCAAAATGAAATGTTATTTTAAATTTATAGACTTTTATTTAAAACTTTCACCATCTGTCTTTTATCAATTGTTTGGAGCTAAGGATTACAAGATGTCCCAGGGTAATGTCATTGTTATATATATGTTATGGAGTTGCATTGTATGGTTTCATGTATGACTGCATTATATCGCTACTCTTCATATGTGTTTTATTTTTACCTAAAGTTGCCACTGCATATGAAAGTCGATTTTTAAGGCTTACTTTTTTTTTAATTCCAACAAGATAATAACAAAACTGCGTTGATTTTGTGTTTATAAAGTTACTAGTGTTTTCGAGCGCAAACTGAATCATATGACTAAATTGCTAAATGAGCACGGATCTTTTAACTCGACTTTCTTTTTGAGTGCTCTCTGGAATTCGGTTATCCCACCATATGTAGCACAAAGATGTGCCATGTGGCTACCGTAATCCGCTTCTAGTCACCAAATACTCGAATCATGGCAATCTATACTCTATAGAACGGCAATATGGATTTTTAATACTAAGACGATTATCCCAAAATGTGCTCTTGTCCTAGACTTGGGATGGGAACTAATACACGACTTTCTTGAGAGACAAAGGGTGTCTAATTTTGCTAGGATTTATGGCCTAGATATAAGTAAATTATGTCGAATTATATTTGAAGAGTTTAAGTCTTTTTAAATCGTCAAAGGGGATGGGATTATCCACAGTATATGATCAATTTGTTTAATATGGTTGGTCTGAATCAATTTTACAACTTGAATGTTTACTTGAATATATTTAAACAATTTCTTTGAATGTTTGTTCGTTGAAGGGAATATCAAGTAATAAATAATTACGGCAGTCTAGATGTTTTCTCTAAATTTCATTTTGCGCTCGGAAGGCTTCGAACTTCTTTCGAACTTGCTGGACTTTAAATCTGCAAGACTAAAACTATTAACACGAACAAACTGTTTACCTGTAAATCAAGTTTTATATAGAATGAAATTTAACGAGAGTCCCACTTGCCAAATGTGTTCATGTAGATCTGACAAGTCCGTTGGACACTACCTATTTTAGTGTTCTTTAGATATTATTCACTACGAAATGAATATTTTACTGATATAAACGAATATCTATGTTCTACCTTTCAAAGCCTCTGCCTCACAGAGTTATCGTCCTACGATACATTACAAATATTGATAGGGGATTAATTTTATCAGGTTGATCCCTATATTAGTAAAATATGGAAAGTTTAAGGAAAGAGATGCTGAGCGAAATTTTCTCCCATATGTTTTACTCTTTTGTTATTATTCATTGCGTATATTGTTTGACGCATTTGTGATACTATGTCCGCAAGTGCCATCGTTGTAAATTAAGGACAAATGCTGATCTTTTATTGGCTGAAAGACAAATCATTTGATTCCGTCATATGTTACCAAATTGTATGAAAACAACCCGAGATTATATAGAAACATTAGCTCCGCCAACCTAATAAATCACCGCAATTTTTACACATTGTTAGTGTTCTTCGTGCAAACGGTTATGCTTTAAAAAAAATATTAAAATTGAAAAAGTAATGGACATTATATTTATTGTAAATATGAATATCAAAGTGATAGAAACATGCACAAAAATAAATTATTATCCATAATATTCTTATTTGAAGATAGGTAAATATAAGAATTGAATGCTTTGTGTTTGAACATTTATACGAATTGAAAAGTGACGATCACATTTTTAACAAGAGCGACTTTTATGTGTGACTCCTTTGTCTATAGCCTATCCTTTAAGAATTGTTTCCCAGCAACCCCTTTATTTCTCAGTGAGGATGTCCCCTAGAGTTAACCATAGGCTGTAACATATAGTGTACTGAATAATAAACAGATAAGCAAACACCATGATCCTGTATTATTATTATATTTCCATGGCTTAAACAAACTCTTCCCTTGACTTCATTAAGTAAGGTTACAACTTAGAAGCGGACGCTGAGGTAATTTGTTGTGGATCTAGGAGAAATGATGCTTGTAATACTATTATAACATCTCTGTTTCAATAAGGAAAATGTTTATTTATTTAATATTTATGCTTGAACGTAAGGTTATCTAATATGAAAAAGTGCTAAACTGCAATATTTTTAAACCCAAAATAAAACGATGGACAACAAAAGATGGAAAAATAAAATTTGGACGTTTTAAGACAGAACGTTGCTTTAAAAGAAGATAAAATTGTAAGGTTAACTTTGTCCGAAGGTTTTTTATTTTTTATAAAATGTAGACGCAAATGCATGTAAAAATGTAATTAAAAAAATCTAGTATGAAACATCTCGTTACGAACTAGTACTACGTAACCAGACATCTTTATATTATACGTTATATTTTCCGTATACACCTGTAGAAAGAAGAAACAACGTTTCAAGTACTCGATGAATTATAAACGTGATATTTATCAATCGTTATGAATCTCAGCTCTGATCTGTAGAAACAAAGTAACATTCGTTAACGTACTTGATCAGTTATGTTTATATCTTGCATTTACCATGCAATGTTCGAGTAAACTAATTTGGACGAAAAGTAAAAAAAATCCAACAAAAGTTATGACCAGAGTACTGAAATGAATAAAAGATTTATAAGTTATTTTTCAGTTAAAAAAATAACAGCTGATACATATATACATATATATATGTTTCTCTAATTCTTCGTCAATTTATCCTTTTCTGCACCCATTGTATAAAAAAAATTTAATCAACGTGTGGTTCTTTTAATCTCAGTTCTTCATTGGTTAAAATCCGATTATGACGTCGAGTTTTCTTGCTTTCCTCTAAATTTCCTATTGTGACGGCATGAAAAAAGGCGACCATGCCTGATGACGTCACATAGAAAGAACACATCTTTTTGCAGATCATTCGAAAAGAAGGAATAAATTTGCCTGCGTATTGTTTAAAAATCATTAGAGAAACAGATTCCACCACCAAATATCGTGTAATACGATATTTATCCACTCTCGACAGTTAAATTTTAAATATTTAAAACGCTCGGCGAGCCTCGCGTTTTAAATTTGAAAATTTAACTGTCTCGAGTGGATAAATATCGTATCACACTCGATGCAGTGGTAGAATCTATATATATATGCGATTTACTGTAACATTTTTAACATAAGTCTTGACGGATGGTATTTGTACATCGTATTGAAGTACTCCTTTGCTCCGCCTTCACATCTGTTTGTTGGGCATGCGCGGCACATCACGCTGTTCATAGTATCGTATCTCCACGCCCGGCATTGTGGTGGTATAAATCTTTCAGCACACTCCGATAAAGGTTGACACATTGGCAACCTCATTTTCTGTTGTCCTCTTCTGCCCATTCGTCTGCCATTGTTACCCATCATGCCATTCTGCATCATTCCCATTTCACTCATCTCTGTGTTTATAATAGTTACCCCGCTAGATGTCATTCCTCCATTTCCCATTCTCGCATTCATCAGCATCTGCATACCACCCGGCAAGTCCATCATAGATTCAACATATTCTGGATTCATGTGGGCTACATTCATTTGTCCACCATTTGTGTTCATTCCAGTCGGACCATTATTCATGTTGTTATCATAATTCATCCCAGTCGGACCATTATTCATGTTGTTATTATTATTCATTCCCATCCGATGGTTATTCATGTTGTTATTATTCATTCCCATCCGACGATTATTCATGTTGTTATTGGCTTGCATACTGTTTTGAAACATATTCATTCCAGTCTTGCCATTATTCATATTATTATTATTGTTCTTAAATGCCATTTCATTCATGTATTTGATTCGTTTAATGGCAGATAAACGCTGTTCATTCCGTTTTGCGTTTTGTGGAGTCCTGGGTATAAATCCAAGTCCATCTGCTCTTCGCCGTTGACCTGAAATAAAAATGACAAGATTAAATAAAATGTAAAGTTAATTGCATACAGCATTTTAATATTTCATTAGAAAAAAATCATGAGCTGACATCTACGTTTGGTGTCTGGTGGATAGTTTGACCCATTGTAAATCAGTTCCTTATTTTATAATGAGTGGAGTCGATTTCAGGACAGACAGCTGTTAACAGGATAATGAACGTTCAATAACCCGATTGAACATTATTAATCTTGTTTATGATGACAACGTAGTAACCACATCTAAGCATATGACTAAAATACCATGCACAAAATTTTACAGAGAATGAGTTACAAAAAATGTTTTGGCGTTTCTAAATGACACAGAGGACATTCTAACATATTTTGTCAGAATTGGTCCTATATTTTTACTGTAATTGAATTATTTCTAGTTTTCTTCCAACAAAAAAGGCGACAATTGGTTAAAACAAATATTTTCAGGAACAACTGAAATAGTTTTCTCTACAATTATCACGGCAACACATACTTTTAATGTGAATATGTAAAAATTCACAGTGAATTCCAACTACTATAAAAACTAGAAAAATGACAATGAAAAAAACTTGTAAAACAGCACGAAAAGGTCAAAACATATTTTGTTACGATGAATGAAACAAAATACTTTACAAAATTTCATTAATGTCCATTGATCATAGCTGCTTTTAAATAAAACTAATTTGTCTATTTACTGCCAAATATACCAGTTTCATAAAATCTCAAATTTGTGAGAAGATTTCAACGAAATAAAGCAAGCATTAATTAATCAATCAAAATCGAGCACGGTTACCTAGGCAATGTTTTTGTCTATGAATTTTTCAAAGATCTCATTGCGATCAAAAACATATCTTAAAATCTCAAAAATTACAATACAATATGAAACTCTATCGACTCAGAGGTAAAACGACTAATAATTGTGAGGATCTGCAAATTGTCTTACAGTATCTTTGTCCAAAACGTTTTACCGAAAAAAAAAACTCAGCAAAAGTTTTCATCATGTCACGGCAGACGGAGAGTTATAAGCGAGATGCATTTGTTATTTAATGACTTGCAGTGATATACGGGAACACAACGGGGTTAACAAAACTCGGGTAACGCCTCGCCAGAACAGTTCTTTTTGAAATGAACCCAATGTATTACCGTAAACCCCCTGTACTTCACTACATATAGCATGTATTACCGTAAACCCCCTGTACTTCACTACATATAACATGTATTACCGTAAACCCCTGTACTTCACTACATATAACATGTATTACCGTAAACCCCCTGTACTTCACTACATATAACATGTATTACCGTTAACCCCCTGTACTTCACGACATATATAAAATGTATTACCGTTAACGCCCTGTACTTCACTACATATAACATGTATTACCGTTAAACCCCCTGTACTTCACTACATATAACATGTATTACCGTAAACCCCTGTATTTCACTACATATAACATGTATTACCGTAAACCCCCTGTACTTCACTACATATAACATGTATTACCGTTAACCCCTGTATTTCACTACATATAACATGTATTACCGTAAACCCCCTGTACTTCACTACATATAACATGTATTACCGTTAACCCCTGTATTTCACTACATATAACATGTATTACCGTAAACCCCCTGTACTTCACTACATATAACATGTATTACCGTTAACCCCCTGTACTTCACTACATATAACATGTATTACCGTAACCCCCTGTACTTCACTACATATAACATGTATTACCGTTAACCCCCTGTATTTCACTACATATAACATAGTATTACGCATCGTTTTTTGTTATCCTTTGAAATTCACAGATAATTCTGTCCACACAAATATGTCAAGCTTTTTTTTAAAATACAATTACCAGTAGTTTTTACAAAATGAAAGCAAGAAGAGACTCCATGTGTAATTAATTAGCCTTATGACATGATATACAAAACAACAAATACTAACGATGTTCCTGACATTGTTTATGTGTCTATGCCAAGTCAAGAGCCTGCAGTTCAGTGGTTGTCGTTGGTTCATGTCTGTCATATTTGTTTTTCGTTAATTGTATTGTTATAAATTAGGCCGTTAGTTTTCTCAAATGAATTGTTTAATATTTTTCATGCCGATGCTATTTATAGCCTACTTTACGGTATGAGTTTTTATCATTGCTGAAGGCCGTACGAATGATATAAAAATAACAACTATAGATCACCGTACGGCCTTCAACAATGAGCAGAACCCATACCGCATAGTAAGCTATAACAGGCCCCGAAATGACAAATGTAAAACAATTCAAACGAGAAAACTAACGGCCTGATTTATGTACAAAACAATGAACAAAAAAACAAATATGATATACTGTAACAACAACAAACGACATCCACTGAATTACATGCTCCTGACGTGGGACAGGCACATACAGAATATGGCGGAGTTAAACTAGTTTGCTGGCGCCAAACCCTCACCTAACCTGGGACAGTAGTGTAACAGTAAAAACTATGAACATCAGATGAAAAGGGCTTAACTCATCAAATCGATACAAAGCAGAAATACATCTAACTAAAACATAGACCGGGCGTGGCATGTTATTTATACATCACCACAACAAAAAAGTAAGACCTGAGATTACTCGCAGTTACTGACAGCTAGCCCAAAGCTTAACGTTTAACAGTTGTCTATTATTACTTACATCAACTTCATTTGAACTTTGGTGGATACTTGTCTCATTGGCAATCATTCCACATCTCCATATTTTTTTATACTTATATCTATAATCTGAAATACTTACAAACTATTCAGATATAACAGATCATAACATAGCCTTGTATTTCTAGTTTATAAATTTGAAAAGAATTTTGACAATCATATCACGGTTTTGTATATAATAGTTTTCTCAACTACAAGATTTGAATTAAAATATTTTTTAAGAAGTTGTAACACAAAATGATCACTAAACGAAACTTTTTTGTCTTTAAAATAAGAAAAGAGGCTTTGTAGACAATTAAGACGATAGAGATTAAATATTTATGATCTCGTCATAGATCGACGGCTTCTGATTGACTGATCAGGGTGACGCAGTGTGCCAGGGGACGTCAAAGTAGAAATAGGCGACACATTTTTTTTTCTTACAATCGCATTTTCCAACATATAAGCAATATAATATTGAATTCCTAAATTCCTAAATGACCAAATGACCAAATGAAAATTTTCGTTGTATTAACCGATTATCCTCTGATGATACACACAAGAAATGTATTCCGTTGAACATACTATATTCGTCCTTAATATTTTTTATACATAGAGTTGGGACACCCCATGACCCAAGCCAGTCCCAGAACATTTAAAACCTAAAACAAGATTTAGGAAAAAATGATCTAGAATCTATTTTGTATTTTAAATGAAATATATCACAAACGTATTCTATACTTTTAGAATCGGTTAAATAAAACTACAATATACTTTGTCTGTGCTGAATCCTTTCGACTAACATTGAAAGTAATTTTATTTTAAAGAACAAATGACACTGTCAAGTAAGATTTGCATCAATGAGAAAGAAACACACACAACAACATAATTAAACCACAAAAGACATCTAGAGGTCACATACAGTTGTCAATAAAAGACATCTAGAGGTCACATACAGTCTTCAACAAAAGATATCTATAGGGCAACATACAGTTGTCAACAAAAGATATCTATAGGTCAGCATACAGTGTTCAACAAAAGATATCTATAGGTCAACATACAGTTTTCAACAAAAGACGCTAAGAGGTCAACATACAGTCTTCAACAAAAGATATCTAGAGGTCAACATACATTCTTCAACAAAAGACATCTAGAGGGAAAATACAGTCTTCAACAAAAGATATCTAGAGGTCAACATACAGTTGTCAACAAATGATATCTAGAGGTCACATACAGTCTTCAACAAAAGACATTTAGAGGTCAACATACAGTCTTCAACAAAAGATATCTAGAGGTCAATATACTGTCTTCAACAAAATCTGACTAGATATCAGCATACAGTCGTCCTCATTTATCGGGAGGTAGGATTTACAATATATCAAAATCGCTATGAGTCTACAGAAGTAATAGAATAGCTTAATAGGGTCGACGAAAGATCTGCCATCTAAAGACTAAAACATCTTATACATGTAAACAAAGACAGCCTTGACTTGGGACAGATATAGATATGTTCTTTTCCTTTTTCCGATAGTCTGTTCTATTTGGCATTTTTTCTACGGATGTTTACGTACATTTATATTTTGTTTCACAAATCTTTAATTAATTGTATCTCTGGAAGTATATTAAATGCTACATATATATCTTTTTTCGGTATTCTGATAAATTTTAACAATTTTTTAATTGTATACAAAATTATATAAAAATCCGAAATACCGGCCAATAACGTATATTTTGCCTTAATGATATATGTAACATATGCTCTAATCTTTCACCTTAATGATATTCCTACAAAGATAAAGCAAATGCACGTGTATTAAATACACTTAATTACATATCGCCAAAATATTGAATAATTTAACTTTATATGACCTTTCCTCAAATATCTGTCCTACGAATTTAATGAACTAAAGTGCGTTGATGTGCGATGGTATGACCAACGTAATTTTCTTGTGGCGGTTCAATTAAAAAAAAAGTAGACAAAAAAAAAAAAAAATCCGAAGAAGAGAAATACATTCCCTCAATTAGTGTTATCTGTAATGTGCCAAACAAAAAATCAATTTAATGAAACTTACTTCTCATTTTTTTTCTACATTGGATACATGTTCGGTAATGGAGAACTTTCTGCACTTAACCATCATAAGTATTGTCGTTACAATCGATAGACACAAAGTGAGCAAATTTATTAATGAATTATGAATATGGTTTGAAAGAACAAATTTCTGTATCATGTGTTAGATAATATGTAGTTTTGTGCCACGTTATCACAATTAAAACAAAGTCAATAATTTGACGATAACAGTTCTGGCAGCAGGAACATATGCTAGACAATTGCATTGTAGCATGTCAGCTGTTAACACTTGCAAATTTATATCATTCCCTCAAGTTGGGAACATAAGAACAATTGAGACATGAAAGGCGACAACGCCTTCATTTTGTCAAGCTCCCTAGACCTCTCGACCAAGTAAAACATTTTTAGTCTGTTGATGTCTCTTCTGTAATATACTTCAACTCTCGTTCTCTCAAACTCTTATCTCAAAAAAAAAATGTATACCCAATTGAAAAATTTGCATAAAAATTAATCCTGATATCTCAAATTTTCTGTTATCTCAAGTTTTTTTTTGGATCAGCTTTTAGATTAAGAGAGTTGACCAAAACCGGTCTATCTAAAATTATATACGAACGTTCAAAATGTACTAAACTGGAAACCTATGTTTTCTCTTGTTAAAAAGAATGATGCCCTGTGACATACGGTCTAAACGAATGTTTCTAAAAGTTTTATGTAAATGGACAATACTTTTAAATGTACTTTTTATTTTTACTCACCATATATGCATGATAATTGTATCAAAACAAACAAAGATATCCACAATCCCAAAGAATTATTCATAGTAATTCATAAATTTAACGTTCAGTCCATTTAAGAAAATTGAGAACGCCTTAATGCGTACTACCGGGAAAGAATGCCAAAAAATCTGATATTAATTAATTACCACACAATATGTAAATTAGGATAATATTTAATGTGAAATACATGCTGATAACTTCATCTATTTTATTCAATAAATAATGAAAACGTATTATGCCAGAAATAGCAAAATTGTTATATATATATTTGAAAAATGATAGTTCTTATCTTTATTGCGAACAAATACCATGGGAAGAAAGATTTTTAAAAACAAGGGTGTTGTTATTTAATTTTTTCTTAATGAGCTGCTTTACCTAAAGTATTTTAAAATTCAAAGCATGCAGATTAAACATAAGTTGAAACGGTTTGCTTTAATTAACTTATTTATTTTTAAGTATTCGTGACAACAAACAAGTGACACATTATAACATTAAATATGTCATAAATGTGCGAGCTTAATGTTGACATTTATAAACACGTAGCTTAAAACAAACATGTAGTTATTTCAGTTATTTTAAGATGAAAATTTACTTTAAATATGTTCTTGAGGTCTTGTTCTTCGATATACGCATGTACAGTACCTGTACCTGTTTGGTAGATTCATCCTTTCCAAGGACCAATCCTAATAGGATTAAATTACGTTTGATTCAACTATGTTTAAGAATTGAATTTTTCCTTTTGTAATTTTTTTGGGGTGTAAAAGCGAAACACATTTAGTATGAAGTGCGGAATCGCTTCTTACTAAATATACTTATTATGCTCACGATCAATCAACGCTTTTATCACACTTTAAACTTACAAAAAGAAAAGGGCCGTAGCTACTGATGAGAGAAGTGAACGTAGAAGCTGTTCTCAAACGATGGGATTTTAGTGGCACAGGAAAGGTCAAACTAGCATTCGCAGACAGAGACCAATCTGATTAAAATTCTGATCCATATTAACTCGCGTGCTCGTATATATATATGAGTATAAAGAAATCAGAGAACTTTATTTTAATTAGATTGAGACAGTGACTAGGTTCCACTCTTTGGACTTTATTAAAGTGTTATTAAAATGTGCTATTTTCAATGAAACGTTGACCACACATACTTGTCCCGCTTTTTCTACTATCAAACATGTGTCCTACTTTACTGAAATGGATATATGTTGGATGGTACAAAATTCAAGGCAAGTATCTGTCAGCCGGCTCTGATAGCCTAATGCAGTTCTTCATACGGTACTGGAACATATGAAACAAAAACGTATGTAACAAGTTTTATTTTGGACACTTATATTACAATTTTGGCCCCCCCATTAACATGGGGGCCTCAATCGGCGACCCTCAGACCCCTGCCTCGTCTGTTTCCGATGCCTAGTTACGGCCCTGAATTTAGAAGCATTCAATTCGTATAATTACAGTCTTATGCTTCGAGTTATATGCATGTTTTCGTTAGTTTTCCTTTGCATTGTTGTGAAGTTGTCACGGGAAGCTCGTGCTGTCTTAAATGTTGCTTTTCATTGGGGAATAAAACATAATTTTGAAATGCATTGCGATCGTTTTCTGCCATTCAAGATAACGGACTCTTGTGACACATACGTGTAATGTTAATGTATGTATACATTATATAACAAACAAGGTCAATGAAAACATGAACAGTAACACCATAAACCAAGAAATGCTTACTTTCATCAAATTACTGGCGGATTAATTTCAGTTTAAGGTAAACAAAATCACTGAAGTTCAATTATACAGTCTTACATTAACATAAGGCTTGTGCGTTGTTTTAATCAGACCATAGCATAATTGTCTTGTTATACTCTTAGTGTCTCTTATATTATGCTAGATGTTCGATGTTCACTATTTGCTTAACCTTTTCTGATGATGAGTATTAATTTTTTAGTGGATTGGAAACAATTTGGAATCAACTTCCCGTTCCTCTGTAGCAAAATGCCAGCAGCACCTGCTTAAGGAGTTTATATCTCTCAACTCATATATACGTAACTAGAAAGTTTGTTACCATAACAGAAACTTTTGGACAGGACCAAACTGCTATCTCAAACAGTGGTGTGTTGTCCAAATATTCAGAGGTAATCCCTTTGTGAGTTTTATGGTAATCATCACGAGTTGATTGAACGTTGATAAGAATATTGCCAGCGAATTGATAGACATGGTCCGCTATATTTCACAGAAGACTGTGAAAAATTTCCAAATCGCCACCCTGTGGTAACAATATTTACGACACCTTAAATCAATCGGTAGCCAGAAAATTTGAAGAAAAAAGCCGAAAATGAAATAGATTGTCACTAAATGCAGGCTCCTGACTTGGGACAGGCACATAAAAAATGTTATAAGCTTATCGTTCAAAAAGATGAAATAAAACTTATAGACCCTTCCGGCATTTTCTTCACACTCAATAAAAAAAATTAACGAATGATTTACAACAACAAAAAATACCGTAGTGGTAAGTAGAGCAGATATAAAGTCAAGCATTTTCAAGCCAATAATCTACTTGTAACTTGTAATATTCATATACTAAAATTACTTCTTTTAAGACGATTCCTTTACATTTTACGTTCTTTTGTCTGTCGGCGTCGTTGTCACTTGTACGTGTGGGCAGTTTTTGAAAAGGTCTATTAGTCTGTCTCACAATTCTATCTAAAATATCTTTAGCAAAATTATTTCCAATTTAACATTCGATTGATTCACCGATTAATGATTTAATACTTAACATCATGGGACAAATATTGTTCTTTTTTATTGGAGACGAAGACTAATTTACAATGAATAAATACCAGTAGGTAGTCTCACCGTGATAAAGGCCGGGAAATTTGGATAACCAATGTAAAATGAGTATATGTTGGATACGGACAGATGTTTGGTTTTACAACAAGTCATCCACGAATCCCTCAGAGAGATGTTGCAATGTTTCTCAAACTTCCAGAGAAAGTGAAACTCTCCTTACACAGTAATGCAAGGAATCGGAATTAACGTCACCATAATGTTCAGTCGGACATGGATTAATATTTATATATTCCTTACAGCCAAACGGACGCACTACTTCAGCAAGGATTTTACTTGCGGACGTGAAATGTCCAGGTATGACCAATAGATCTACAGCCCATTCAACCCGTGGGGTTCTTGATATTTGAGCGTTGTTAAATGTGATTCTCTCTATTTTGCAGTACCTTAGATTCTAGCACAAAGTGTACAATATATTCCTTAGCTAGTCCATATGATGCACATGCATCGCTTTTCAAGTTCTTGCTGAATTTGGTCCTCTCTACTTGTGAGACATACATTCTAGTATTAAGCTTTGCATTCATCTCGGCCTTTTTAACTTCGAGATTGTTGTTTAAAACAAGCTTCCATATTTGATGTGGATTCTTAAATGGCCTTGACTTGATATTATCGGTTTTTATCTATTATTGCAGATTTTTTTCACAGATTTAACCACGGTTCTGTTCAATATTGTTGAATGGCACATTTTGTTCGTAGTTGGAGTAAGTAATTATTAAAGCCTGAGCTTTTTGGAAGTCCATATTTGAAAGCGGATTTTCAAAACCAAGGAGACTTCAACAATCATAAGTCAATAACACAGCCACATCATGATCACACATAAAAACGACGAAAAGAACAAGCAAGAATAAAAAAAATAATTTCATAGAAAACTACAAAATAGGGCAACACGAACCCCACTAAAATCCTAGTTTGAACTCCGGTTCTGCTCCACATGTGCCATCTGTCGTTTTCTCATGCAAGTAAATTCCTGTCAACATTCACTTCCGGAAATGTCACAATCGACGAAAACAGGACGGGATTGTGGTTACAATAAGTGGAACATATCCGTGGTCATCTGCAGCACAGCTATTCCATTACAAGCAATAAAAAATGGTGACATCCGTAAAACCTTCGAAGGGACGACTTCAATTTTGATACTTGATACCTTTGATGCAGTAGCTTCCTTGGAAGCAGTAACCATCTATCAAGGAAATCATTATATGAAACACAAGCTCTAGAATATCGCGTCAACTGATAAATATGTAGTCCATATGCAGGCGCTGCTTGAATATTACTACACAAAAATGGAAAGTTCAGAGTACGGAAATTGAATTGTTTATTTGTCTTAAAATGCAGGTCTTAGTTAACTATCACTGTCGATTTATATATATTGGTAAATGAAAATAACACAATTAGTTGCGTCCAAAGTGTTTTTCACGATTTACCTACACCAGGAACAATCAAGACCAATGGTGTTTTTTATTATAATGTGAGGAGCTATATGACCAAAACAAATAGGGACCAGAAACGAAGACTAGAAGCCAAATCTAAATCAGATAGGGACCAGAAACGAAGACTGGTAGCCAAATCTAAATCAGATAGAGTCAGAAACGAAGACTGGTAGCCAAATCTAAATCAGATAGGGACCAGAAACGAAGACTAGTAGCCAACTCTAAATCAGATAGGGACCGGAAACGAAGACTAGAAGCCAAATCTAAATCAGTTTCATATTTGTTTGGCTTGAATGACGCAAAATCATTTTATGTACTAGTACATTGTCTAGTAAAGACTTCATTTTCATTGTTTTGAAGCATAGCAATATCATCAGCGTGTGTTGGTCCACACTATTAATGTTTCCTGTTCTTCCGCCTAGGTAACTTTGCGTCCTAGTCATAACCTATAACTTGTATAATTCATCTAACAGACTGCAATTCTACTTAACCGTCACAAGACAACCTTTGTGTAAATATTCCATAATAATAACTACAAAGTTTCTTTTATCCACGTTCTTTGGTTTCTGGTGGATAGTTATCTCATTGGCAATCTTACATCCTTCCATCATGACGGAGAATAGATATTGACAAGTTCAAATTCAGCATGCGATCCATTTGATCCTAAAAGAGAGATTATCGTTTAATCCAAAATGAAGACGTATGTTTTTCTTGTCAAGCCGCTTCACCTCAACCATCAGATTTGCTGCGACATGAATCAGTACCTAAACCACCTCGTCTAAAAGTAATTATTAAATGGTATCAAGGAAAATGAAGCACAATCTCGAACGCCAGACGTAATACCCCAAAGAAATAACATATTGCTTTAGTTCGAAACCCGGAAAACAATTAACATAGCATTGCTTGGGAAATTTGGTATAGAAATATTACTTTCAGCGTGACCAATTGCTGCAAACATCAACGTTATTGGGTTTCTGTTAGATAGTTGTCTCATTGGCAATCATACCGTATCTCGTAATTTTATCATAAACACATAATGATGGTCGCAGTTTCCGAAAGCAAGCGTAGAGTATAATCATATTAAATTTTCTTTTTCAAATCGGTATTTGTTGGTAAGCTGGCCGGGAAGGAACCTGGAAGCGGCTGAAAAAGTAGAAGAAAAAAAAAAAGAAAGAGGTGCGGGCGAATGGCGGGAGTAGACTTCAGTGTCTTTTTATTTTTCTCTGTGAGGGCCTCTCCGATGGTGAGTATTGAACAGTCGGCTCTGTAGGGTGGAAGTCATCAGCCGAGCTTACTGGATATAGCAATCACACAGGCATGTACAATGTACAGAGTAGATATTCTGCACAGTATTGAGTAAGGACCTCTACTACATGTACCTACGGATACTAGGTAGCTAGATATCTCTACTGGGGAGACAAATCTACTAGACACATTGGTTTTGTCATACCAGTATCCCAACCATGTGGCCACCTCTACATGTACTTGCATGGGAATATTAATCAAACCTCTAAAATGATAGTACGATTGGAATGGAATACTTATTAGTAAGTTTGAATGTCCCTCTGGGATCTTTCGCCTCTCTTTTTCGACAACCTAGATAATTACATCCCAACAAACTGAGGAATGGAGTGGTACTAGGCAGTAATGAATTGGCCTTAGGGTGTGTAGATACCTCTTTAGTTATCTAATATCCCAAACTATAGCGGCTCTGATGTTAGCTGGCCGTTTTCCACTGAGCAGTTTAAACATCCCTGATTCGGTTATGACTCATTTTGAACATTGTATTTTAATCCCATCATTCTGCTTAATAGGAGGAATTTGTGATAATTAAATAACAAAATGACTGTGCATAAAAATTATATAAGATGTTTTAACGGTACATTTTAGATTCATGTTCTACCTCTTGTTAAGATGTACATTATTTCTATTTTATTGAACTTATTTTTCAAATTTCAAATGTTGCATCTAACACCTGCACGAAGTACTTCGTATTTGTCATTAGCGCAATCACCTGGTCCCCATGGACCTAACCACCTAGCCCTGGTGTCGGGATCACGCCCGTAGAAACAATCTCCTAGATGTGAAACTCCTCTTGGACAGTAAAGTAGTTGTATACTATTCTCCATTTCTGGATCATTTTGAGAAGACAATTCATATGGCAAGTGTGTTGCAGTTCCATTGCTGAAACTAGTAAATTTCTTATTATTTTATTTCTATAAAGGATATAGCTGTATGAAGTTAACGTTGAATATATATTGTAAATCTTAATAAACTCATTGAAGATTTATTAACCTTTGTAATTATATATTCGCCAAAAGGATTTTCTCCGGAAGAAGAAAGAAGAACTATTCATAAACATTCTCAACTCGAGATTAAATGATAAATGATATTTTAAATAACATTTTAAAGACTTTACTCAAATTTTAAAATGAAATTAGTAGTCTCCCTTGAATTTGTTAACGTCATACTATTGTTCAATCAATTGTTTTGTATAACACTTATGTATACACGTCACATTACCTAAGGATCTGTTAAAGCAGTGAAAGCGCTAGTAAAATTGATGAATTGAAACCGTTATTATCTTTTATTAATTTTCTTATATATATATATATATATATATATATATATATATACACTCTGTTCTGTAACAAGGAAACAAATGCATCCATTATTTTGTTTTTAAAATGACTTTGAATATTGAAAATATAGGTATCTACTTTAAAGTATTATTTATGACGGAAATTGTCAATAGTTGGGAACATCAAAGCTTAAGTACTGTTTTCACTGCCTTGAACATGTATCATCAGGAGCACATACAAAATAGTACTGTGTGACATATCGATCTTCTTGTTTGATGTGGTGCATAAGCGTTAGTTAAAGTCACACTTCGTTACTTAAATGTTTCGTCAGTAGGTGTAATAGAATCGAAACATACATGTAGTACGCCACATCCAGTTTCATACGAAAAAGGATCGAAAACAAATTCTCCCTTGAATTTGACAGTAATTTTTGAGTCATAAAAAAATATATCTCGGGTATTCTAAAACACCATTATTTTTTATTTGGTGTTTCTATAATATATTATGAAGACTTGAGGAGACATGGTTACTAAAGCTTGTTAACAGGGAAAAGGGGGTGAAAATTTGATTGGTTAACTCCAAGTGATGCCTATTATCTTATATGCAATGACTTGTTAAGTAAAATTGACTATAGTACTGCACAGGATAAGCTATACTCATGCCAAGTAACTCTTTATATGGAACAAAGATAAATTCTGCATAATTTTTTGCAAATGCTAATTTAACAAAGACTTATCGGGATACAAAAATGGTGGTATTACGCCAGCAATTTAACATTACATTTTACGACATTCGCAAATCTTAATTAATCTTAAATCAAATTAAGGTTACAGTAAGTCTCAGAGTGCATTATTATTTTGGCAAAAGGGCAAGAATTTTGTATAATGATCTAAAAACCTGCTGTCTTTAATTTGTTTTGATCAAGTTTTGTGCAAAGTGATTTACTTCTCAATTATATGATATTCTAAGTATGATATAGTTACAGATTTATAATTCGATGAACTATCTTTCCGCTTCTTTCAAGTATGATTTCAACAAGCTCGGTTTAAATGAATATTGCACAATACATTTGGTGTGTCCAAAACGCTTTTCTGGATTAACCTGTACAAGGAATGCTTACAACTTAAAAAAGATGTCGAAGTACCAGAATACGTGTTGTGCTTAAATGCACACAAAAAGAATAGCCAAATCTTACTAAGGTCAATTTAGACTGAAGGATTTGGAATTTAAGTTTCTTAACAATTTCTAAATTTACTAATGGAACATTAAAGAATAATGATGTTATAAAGCATGTCAACAAACAACCACCATCGGTGTCCATCAAGACGTGCTAATAAATGAAAATATCACTTAAATGAATTTTGGGTTTTCTGGATTAAACAAATTACTCAGAGGAAGTTATTGGTGGATATCCTGTGGTATTTGTAAATTTAGCATGACATACTATAACCCTAATAACTCTTTCAAATGTTTGGGTTTGAGACCTATTTAAGAATACAATAATTTGTACCTATTATTTAGCATACGACAGACAGTGGTAGCGCCTACATCATCCCATTCCCAATCGTAGGCGCATATTTTACAAGTTTCTCCCTGTCGATGGACAATAACTTTTCCATCATTTTCTAAAGAGACCGTCATTTGGAGTTCTACAAAAAATTGTTATTTTTAGAACAATGTTGCATATACAGATCATTCATATCCCTTCTATGTATTGAATATATGCTCGAATTGTTATCCCTCAAGTATCTGTTTAATTGTTTCCCGTTGCAAGATTATCAAATAAACAACACAAAAGTTGCTACAATTTATCATTGCCGCTAGTGTTGGGAAATACTGTCGTTAAATTTCGTTGCTCTATATTTATATTTTTCATGATATTTCAAGCTACTACCGCTTTGCATACGCTATCAGTTTTCAATATCAAGCTATTTGATGTGATGATTTGTTTAATAGGCAATAATTTGTAAAACAATGAGGACACGAACATACCGGTATCGCTGGTTTCATAGCATTTTATGAATACTGCATTTTCACTATAATGATAATCTTCTTCTCTCACTGTGTTACAATGTCCCACATTTTGTTCTTTCCCATTACATTCCAGTATTAACCACTTTCGTCGACTATTTTCATACACGGATTGCTTAGTGTGCATTTCTCCGCCATGTCTGCAATATACATAGTATATATTTGAAATATATTTGATAGACGTTCACAGAAAAGATAAGAAATAATGAATAAGATTAGATAAGATAACAAGATACGATACGATACGATAAGATACGATGAGATACGATAAGATAAGATTAGATAAGATAAGATAAGATAAGATAAGATAAGATAAGATAAGATAAGATAAAAGCATCAAGAGAAGATATTATTAAGTTTGTTAATATACCAATACTAATTAAATGAACAGAAAAAAGAGTGTACTATCAATATACATATAAAACCGTAAACGTTGCACTTCTTTAAATATAGACAATGCAATTTCCCATAGTCTCTCCTTTTATGGCTAAAACTGTGCAACGTTTACTATGAAGTTTCGTAAAACAACTAAACCCTATAATTGACAGTTTATATGCACTTCTTTTTTTCAAAGGTCAAAACATAGGGCTCTGTGACATATTTTCAACATTTATATGCCACGAATGTCTAAGAGTTTAAACTTATACTAAAACTATGTTCTACCTCACTTTTAAAACTTTCAGTCTTTCTCAGAATTCAATTTGATATCTATCCATGTGTATTTATACTGGTAATATTCCCAAGTTGTGTCTCTATGAGAAGAAAAATAGAATAATATCTGGGAACCAGTAAGGAAACAAAACAAAATATCTAGTAAGAATATCAAATATCTCCCCAAAAGAGGCGCGGTTTATGAAACAGTTGTATTAACAATATGCACCTAAATGTAAATTCATAATTCATGCACAACTCGTATGCTTGTTTCTATTCATCCATGTTATCTACTCTTTGGCCGGGTGTTGACTCTTTGACATATTCCCCATTTCCATTCTCAATTTTATCCCATGAAACTCGCAGATACGTTTTAACAAATTTATTTAAAATACAAAACACATAATATTTCAACCTAGGAAAATATCAATTTCAATCTGCTTATAGAAATATTTGACAGAAATCTTGACAAAAACCGCATATTTTATCATCTGTTCAGGAATTCTAAGATGAAGATTCTTTGACAGATTTGCCATTCATTGTAAAAAAAAAAGTCATATCTTTTGCATTTTCCTGTATCAAAAACCCACAAATTTGTAAAAAAATTAAACAATCAATTCTGTTTATACATCATAAGCAGTGTAACTGACAAAGTATGCTTAAAGTTTTATTGTAGAAAGATATGTTTCATACTTTTATACCAGCCCAGTAGTCAGCACTTCTGTGGTGACATGAATTATCATTGATATGGTCATAATTATAAATTAACTGTTTACAAAACTTTGAATTTTTTAAAAAATAAGGCTTTTCTACCTCAGGAATAGATTACTTTAGCTGTATTTGGCAAACCTTTTGGGAATTTTTGGTCCTCAATGCTCTTCAACTTCGTATTTTATTTGGCCTTTTTAACTGTTTTTGATCTGAGCGTCACTGATGAGTCTTTTGTAGACGAAACGCGCGTCTGGCGCATATATAAAATTGCAATACTGGTATCTATGAGGACTTTATTTATTACACCAATATGTACTTTCAACGTTATATTGTTTGTTTATCTAATACTTTGATTTATATGAAAAAAACATACCTGTATCCCAACTGTTTGCAGACAACAGCTACATTTGTTGCTGAAAAACCATGATCGTAGTATACTGTAGACCATTTGTCATGATATTTTAAAAGAAGCTGTCCTTCATTGTTTGAATTTCCTCCAAATAACTGTATTTCATAATCTTAAAAACAATAAATAAAAAAGTTTGCAATACAAGCAGATGCTCCCCAAATCACACTTTTATTGGGGAATGCAAATATGAGTCCAATGTATGACTGTCTTGTATTTATAGAGTAAAATACAATATCCTTATGGGAAAAAATAACGAAAATATTCATTTTATAAGTAATTTTCAAGTTTCAGTAAATGCTTTTTTACCAATAATGGCATACCTGAGTTATCATCCAAAATGTTTAAAACATGTCTTGATATATATATCATTATGTTTCTTCCAATCTTAGCCAGTCACTCGTGGTAGTGATCATACAGACTTTGTATGGGTTAACAATATTTATCATACTTCACGTTAAAATGACAGACTTTGATAAGTTACAATGACAGAGACAATCTACTATTTCCCATAACTAATATTTTATCACCCTGCACGGAGAAGCTTGTTTTTCGTCATTGTCTGAACGTCGCATGAACAGGAACACCTCTAACATAAATATTAGAATATATGAATAATTTTGTAGAACAGGTTGCACAACATCGTAAGCAGATTATACATCCAGAACAGATATGTAAAATTGTGCAATTACTACTTTGTTTTTATAGCAGGCTTCTGAAATTAGAAGGCTTCTCATGCTATAGTTTATTACTTTCAATTTAAAATGTATAAGGCAATAATAACAGAACGTTCAGTATACTGAATCAAATAACACGAAGAGGCGAAGGTTGGTATCTTTTGCTTGTCTACTTGATGTTCGATATATATTTTATTTAAATTGGTTATTTTATTGATTTATCTTTTGAATTATTAGTTTACTTCAATAGTATAAAATAATCACAAAAGATACCAGGCTTATAATTTTGACGCTCGAGTACAAAAAGTAAAAAGGTCTAAAAAATACGAAGTAAATGAGCATTGAGGACTCAAAATATGTGATCCTCATCTGTTTGATGTTTTTCTCCCAAATCTGCAGTTTATTATTGTATATTTTTGTTTATATTTGTTCTATTTTTGCTTTTGCATTTCTACCATTTAATGACAGAAAAGAACGAAAATACAAAAAAAAAAAAAAAATACAGTTGCTGTTTGGCACTGGTTATTTTACTTTGTCTTTGTATCTCCTTATATTTGCTTGTCAGGTGATTAAAACTAAAATGTGTACTTTGGTATATGATTGAAATCAGTCTGGTACTTTTGTTTGGATCAGTAAATCATACAGCTATAAATCTTGATTGATAAGTTGTTTATCCTCAATCCAGAAAAACGCTCAATTAGCGTTTCGTCTTCCTTTAAGTTGAACTGGACAGTTTGTCAGAATGGGTCAAACCATCAGGTTTCTGATAAATCGTCGAATTCATCAGTTGAAAAACTGTGTGAATGATCGACCAAAGTCCGTTTTCAGAGACAAAAAAGCTGTGAAATGTCTATCATCTCTTTACAATACATATGTTGTTGTTCCTGCGGACAAAGCTTTAACTAATATTGTCATTGTATTTTAATCGTACTACTATAAGTGTCTTGTAAAAGCATTAGGAATAAATGAGCACTCAGGTAATCTCACATACAAAAACTTATCATTTGACAAGGATGAGATTTTGGCGAATTATAAGTCCTTCATGGCTTCAATGAACATAACATTGAACAGCAAATATGAGGACTAACCTTGTTTTAATTGGATACCTAAGCTTAAAAAAATTCCGTACAAACAACAATACATAACCGGCTCATCTGCATGTTCTACAAAGGAATTGATCATACGATTGAAACAAATTCTGTCCACAGTGAAAGAGGGTCTTCAGAAATACTGTGAAACTGCTTACTCGAGTAGTGGTATTATTAACCATATTATGGATTCTAAAAACCCTTAAGAATTTCTTGATAATTTTAAATCTCGATCTTTCTCTGAAATTAATTCTATTAAAACTTTCTAGTTTTCAACCCTGTATACCACCATCCCATTGTGAAATTGAAAAGTAGTCTAAAAGAAATAATCCATATGCGTTTCAATACAAAAGTAATAGCATATGCTATAAATTTGTTGCCATGGGAATACCATACGGAATATTTTGTTAATAGCGAAGAACTAGAGGCTCTAAAGAGCCTGTGTTGCTCACCTTGGTCTATGTGCATATTCAACAAAGAACACAATCCAACATTGTAGACAGGAATAGAATTCATGCCAAAAATCTGTTTTGATGATCTTGTATTGCTGATCATTTAGCCTGTTTAGTTTCTCTCTATTTTCTTTAGTTTTTGCTCAAAGCACAAAAGAGGATATAAAAAATCCTCATTTAAAGACAAACACTCCTACACAGAGTCACAGTCTACCTATCTTTGTAAAAGATTACAAAAATTTAAGATGTTTGATTTAATTTGGTCCAGTAGTTTCAGAGGAGAAGATTTTTGAAAAAAAATTTAAGAAAAATTGTGAAAAATGAACTTTAAAGGGCAATAACTCTTCATGAGGTCAATTGATAATTTTGGTCATGTTGACTTATTTGTAGATCTTACTTTGCTGAACAATTTTGCATGATTACAGTTTATCTCTATCTGTTATAATATTCAGGATAATAACCCAAAACTGCAAAATTTCGTAAAATTACCATTTCAGGGGCGGATAGATTTTGACATGATGAACATTTTTACCCTTTCAGATTTGCTCTAAATGCTTTAGTTTAAGAGATATAAGCCAAAAACTGCATTTTACCCCATGTTCTATTTTTAGCCATGGCGGCTATCATGTTAATGGGCGGGGTCATCAAATATATTTTTTCAAACTATATACCCTTAGGATGATTTAGGCAAAGTTTGGTTTAATTTGGCCCAGTAGTTTCAGAGGAGAAGATTTTTGTAAAAGATTACAAAAATTAACGAAAAATTTACTTGAAAGGGCAATAAGTCTTTCTGGAGTCAATTTACAATTTTGGTCATTTGACTTATTTGTAGATCTTACTTTGCTGAACAATATGGCTGTTTACAGTTTATCTCTATCTATTATAATATTCAAGATAATAACCAAAAACTGCAAAATTTCCTTAAAATTACCAATTCAGGGGCAGCAACCCAACAACAGATTGTCTGATGCGTCTGAAAATTTCAGGGCAGATAGATCTTGACTTGATGAACATTTTTCCAAATGTTAGATTTGCTCTAAATGCTTTAGTTTCAGAGATATAAGCCAAAAACTGCATTTTACCCCCATGTTCTATTTTTAGCCATGACGGTCATCTTGGTTGATGTGAGGGGTCATCGGATTCATTTTTTAAACTATATACCCTAAGGATGTTTAAGGCTAAGTTTGGTTTTATTTGGCCCAGTAGTTTCAGAGGAGGAGATTTTTGTAAAAGTTAACGGACGACGACGACGGACGACGGACGCCAAGTGATGAGAAAAGCTCACTTGGCCCTTTGGGGCGAGGTGAGCTAAAAAGGTAACACTTGCTACAAAGAAGAACAAGTGATCTATATGCTTATTGATGCATATTTGTTGAATTTGGAGATAGACTTTTTCAACAAGTTGTCGGCATTTCGATGGGAACGAACTGTGCGCCTCATCTTGCCGACCTCTTCTTATTTTCATAGGAGTCGGAATTCCGTCAGACACTTGTCAAAAACAAGAAGATCAAAGAAGTCAGATCATTAATTTCACATTTAGATATATTGATGATGTTTTTACTATTAACAAAACAAACTTTTCTGATTGGATTCCATTAATATATCCTCAGAACTAGAAATTAAAGAAACAACATACACGGCTTCCTCTACCTCATTTTTAGACATATACCTAGAAATTGACATAAGCATTCATCTCAGTACCAGAATCTATGACAAAGGAGACGATTTTAATTTTGAAATTACAAATGCCCCCCACCTTAGCAGCAATATACCAACTTCACTTGCATATGGGATATACATTTCCTAACTCCTTAGGTATTCAAGAGCTTGCAGCTGCTACTCAGATTTTATAAAACGTCACCAGTGTCTGAGTATAAAATTGATGAGCCAAGGTTAGGCTTAGGAACGTCTCGTCCTTTTTGTAAAAAAAAATCATTGGAAGATACCAAGACCTTGTTGATAAATATTCCTTATCAAATTCACAAATAATACATGATGGTCTTAAGTATAGACTATAGGTACTGCCGTTGTGTATCATCTTAATTACGTGTTATAGTGTTCTTTTCATTTGTCCTTGTACTTTTTTAACCTTTACCGTTTAGTCCAAATTCTTGTAATATACCAAGGCTCCGTGTTGAAGACCTCACTTTGACCTATAATGGTTTACTTTTACAAATTGTGACTTGGATGGAGAGTTGGCGCATTGGCACTCATACCACATCTTCTTATATCTATTTAGGCGTGGCTAGGTACTCATACATCCCGCCATTGTGCTGTTGTGCTATGGTCAATTTTGGGTTATTGGGCTATGGTCAATTTTATTTTCTTGGCTTTCATGTTTGCTATATACTTTGTCTAAAGAGTGTCTATATGCCATTTTATTTTTCTTTGTTGAAATAGATATTTATTTTATAGTGATAAAGATTATATTACAATGTTGACTGCTGTACCCCTACTTTGACATGTTTACCTATTATGTCTGTTTGTTTTGCTTACACATTGTTGTAAATATAATTGAATTCTATACGACTGTCATACAAGTTAAGTGGTTTCGCTAGCTATAAAATCATGTTTAATCAACCATTTTCTACATAAGGAAATGCCTGTACCAAGTCAGGAATATGACAGTTGTTTCCATTCGTTTGATGTTTTTAAGCTTTTGATTTTGCCATTTGCTTAGGGACTTCCCGTTTTGAATTTTCCTCAGTATTTTTGTTATTTTACTGTTTACACCGCCATATGATGTTCCTTTGCTGAGGGTGATTCTCTTAATTAAAAAAAAATGTCTGTCAAAGTTTCATAAAATTATACGAAGGTTTGTCAATGTTATTGATGTCTTAAATATTTATCCCCATATTCTATTATAAAAATTTTCAGTTATTTATGTATTCATATTTAAAAAAATGACTATATTTTTTATGTTAGGGCTAATTTGTACTAACACCGGACTATATAGATGTTATATGGTACGTTCTATGGTTTGTAAATCAAATACAGAGTACTAAAATTGTCCTGGTCTAGATCTAGATATTTTAGTTTCACACATGAAACTATGTACACGAATTTACGATTGTTATTTTTTCTTTTTTGCACTGCGATTCTCTTTTGACATTTCCTACGGCGTGCATATTACTCATTTTTCGCTATGCCTGTGTCTGTAGTCGCCTTTTAGATGTTATTGAACGTTATTTATGTACAACTCGTAAAATATTAAGTCAAGGATTTCGTTATCACAAATTAATTACAACTGTTATTTGTTCCCTATGCCCGTGTCTGTAGTCGCCTTTTAGAAGTCAATGAACGTAATCTATGTACAACTGGTAAATCATTAATTCAGGGATTTCATTATCACAAATTAATTGCACCATTTATTTAACTCTTTCATAGAAACATAGTTTTGGTTAGGAAGTTTGACTGTATTAACACGGGATATTTCATCCTACATTTTACTGTGACGTTGTTTATAGAGCCCGTAAATTGAGATACAATCCATGTAACTCCATTGATCTTTTAAATAAACTTGTTCTTAAAGGTTGTCAATTTAACACAGAAACATTCTTAAACATTTCTTTATCGGTACGAACATTGATTTTGATTTTGAAAATTGGAACATATATAAATCTATATTGATATATATGTAAATTTATGAGTACTCAATATCCTATATCCTATCCATACTGTTAACAAACCTTTTGGCATTGCACACGATAGAAAAATTAAAATTAAGCATGCTTTATCCCTTTATAGCCACATGAAACTATGGTGGAAAGTTGTCTCATTGGCAATCATACCACATCTCCTTATTTTATATACATGTTTTGTGCAGGAATTTATAGTCGTCTTCAAAGATAAATCATAGATATAAGAAGATGTGGTATGAGTGCCAATGAGACAACTCTCCATTTAAGTCAAAATTTACAAAAGTAAACCATTATAGGTCAAATTACGGTCTTCAACACGGAGCCTTGGCTCACACCGAACAGCAAGCTATAAAGGGCCCCAAAAATTACTAGTGTAAAACCATTCAAACAGGAAAACCAACGGTCTAATCTATATAAAAAACGAGAAAAGAGAAACACTTATGAACCACATCAACAAACGACAACTACTGAACATCAGATTCCTGACTTAGGACAGGTGCAAACAAATGCAGCGGGTTTAAACGTTTTAATGGTAATAAACCTTCACCCTTTTTTCGAAACAATAGTGTAACATCACAACATAGAAAGACACACTATAAAATATCAACTGAAATAGCTTAACTCAATCAAAGGACATATTAACACCAGTGAACATACACTGAACAAATAAATTTGACCTATGATACAATGTAAATACAAAATAAATAAACTAAGGGAAGAATAATAAAAGTAACATGTAATACCGCAATGAAATGTTAAACAATTTAAGAAAAACAATATGCTCGAACAAAAATATCAGCCATTTGCAATTACTTTAAACACAAGTAAATGAAAATAATTTTGTTGTTAGGTATACGTGTCCAGTTCAAATAGAGAAAGGAAAAATTTTTACAAAATAAATAATTTTGATGTTCATAGTACGAAGTGAAAACTTATAGTAATACCAAACACTTATCAAAGCTGGTATATAGACCAGATATAACCCTGAACCCATGTATTTCAGAATCATTACTAGATACTGTATACATTTTCTGTACTTAATGGAAAAAATTCATTCAATTCATCCAAGAAATAACTTGGCATGCCACAAAACCAGGTTCAACCCACCATTTTTTTCTTAAAATGTCCTGTACCAAGTCAGGAAAATGGCCATTGTTATATTATAGTTCGTTTCTGTGTGTGTTACATTTTAATGTTGTGTTTTTGTTGTGTCGTTGTTCTCCTCTTATATTTGATGCGTTTCCCTCAGTTTTAGTTTGTAACCCGGATTTGTTTTTATCTCTATCGATTTATGAGTTTCGAACAGCGGTATACTACTGTTGCCTTTATTTAAAGAGAATGTTTTTCTTAAAAAAATGTAAATCTGAATGAAATATATATAGCAGCATTTTAAAACAAAGAAACTCTTTTCACCTCTAATTGTACAGATGCAGCTTAAGTGTGAATACGGAAAATACAACTTTATAATCACGTGAATATTCTTATGTTCATTGAAGCATGGAAGTATTATATTGACAGGAACTCCAACGAAAAAATAGCACATTCCCATCCCACTGATTTCCTTAAGAAAATAAAAGGTTCCGAATCAGTTTGTCAAGTACATGATAACTCCTTTGTGGGGTATCTGCAATGTCGCCTTTGCCTGTTCTGTTAACTGAAGCTGGTCTTATCACGTGATTTGGTATCAAGTGTCTTATCTACCTGCCAATATAAATAAACACGGAAACTCCCGTGGTTATTTGTGAATCGTCACATGAATAACGACACCTGTTTCAGTTCAATAAATAAAGCCAAAGGCTGAAACGATCTAAAAAAATCGGTCCATATTTAACAGAATGACATAAGAAAATTAACTGCATTCGTAAAGAGGGCAAGATTATTTTTTAGTTTTGTTTAATTTGTTTTATTCATTGGAACGTGAAAATCGGGAAATATCCGGTATTAAAAATTACATGTACCTGAAGTCGGGTGTTTGCGGAAAATAATGTAATGCGCGTGTTGTGTTGGATGGCGAAGGATAGCTCAATTTAAGTTAAAGGATGTAAATTTTTATCGAATGTTACTAGAATATTTATGGTTTTCTCTATCGTCTCAATGTAGAAAAATGTAATTAACGTATCAATCAAATAGGGTTTTAAGACTAAAAGAGGTTAATAATTACACGCACGTGATGACCTCTGCATAGCATGTATCAGGTAACGAGACAGATGAATTATTACACCTTTTACAATATTCAAAAGTTAAAAACAACCTTCAACCTAGTCCGAGACTGCTCTGACGTCTGACAGATTTTTTTTAAGGAATGGCTTAACTTTAAATATTTCTGGATGCATTTAAAGAACGATCATCATGATGGGCCCTAAGCAGTATAATATTTTTTTATTCTTAAAATTTTATCATGGGAACCAAATTTGAATTTATTTTTGTGTGTATATGCTTAACAGTTCTGAAACATCTTACAACGTATGTTAAGCAATTTATTTTTTTGTTTCTTGCTGAATTACATGAAATATTTGCCATTGGACTTTCAGTAAACAATTAATCAAACTATTTGAAAACATTTAGCAATAAATCTCAATTACAGATGCAGATTACAACTATTTTTTTCCTTACACAAGGAATTTATTGTTTTCAAGCTAATATTAAAATATATATAGAGGAGATAAGGAGATATAATATGATTGATTGACCATGAGCTATTTCACATTATGCCAAAATATGATGTTTTTTATCGATCAAAGCCGTTTAAATTGATTGTAACTGAAACTGAAATGTTTATGGCTTGTGAGTATTTTTACTCTTCAGTTTTTTTGTAGTTGTTTTTTTTTTGTGAAAACAGTAGCGGGATTTTCGTTTCTTTTTTTTTATTACTTTTCACGCAGCAAAACCCGCCAAAACTGACATATTTGTCATTTAGTGACATGGTCGGTAAATGTCATTTCCTTGACAATTAAGTACACATCCGGTTATTTCGGTATATTTCGTAATTACGATCAATCACGAGGTTCCAAAAATTTGATTGAACCCATACATCCATATAACATATCGAGTCAATTAACAGATACTAAACGACTTTGCGGCATCGCACTATAAACGTTTGAAGTCAGTTTGTTGGAGTTCCTGTCAATATAATACTTCCATGATTGAAGTAAATGATTTATGTTTTGCTTGTTTACTGTGATTTAAAAAATGTAATAACATTTACTTAAAAAAAAATACGTAAATTTATTATACTGCAGCATGGTTGAAAATTAAGTAAAACATATCACAGTACTAAAAGGTTTATACATATAAAATTTGGTTTTAAAATTTGAAGTGTTTAACATTTAATTATGTCGGGGCCTTTTATAGCTTGCTATATGGTATGTGTTTGTTCATTGTTAAAGGCTGTACGGTGGACCTGTAGTTTCTAACATCAACGTCACTTAATGGATAGTGATCTCATTGGCAATCACAACCACATATCCTTATTCCATTTAGAAATATTAACTATATTTGATAAACATAACGAAGGCTTAACTTTTTACCATTGCTCGCATTTATTTTAAAATGTGCATGTCGCAAATTGCTTTGTTTTTTCCTCCTCGAGTATATGTATTTTATTGTAGTTACCTGGGAATGGGTCTGATCTACACTTTAACTCTACATCATATTGGTGAAGAAAAGAACAGACATTTCTAAAATCTTCGAAAGCCCACATACGTTCGGAACACTGGTCCAGGTCTTCTGAATTCCAAGGGCATTCTATACCGCCTAATAATACTGGTCCTAAATCTGACCTTCCATAATTCGTTTTGTTTATCAAAATATGACCACCATAACTAAAAGAATAAAATAAATAAATAATAAGTATAATTATGAACAAGTACATTGTATTTTTGTGTTAGAATGTTGAATGGTAAATTGTGTACACAGATCGCAGCTCTAGAGTGGTGCTCGAATAACGAATAAACAGACAGACAGACAGACAGACAGACAGACAGACAGACAGACAATGGCCAATCGTTGGAGCACTAAATATTATTCGTATTGTAATATATAATTCAAAAACAATCTTGAATTAATCTTAACTCAAGAATCTTAAATTCAATACAATATTCATCAAACACAGCTGGTTCGACGAAAATAACTGAAGTTTGAAATATCCTATTGAATGCACAGTTAAATCGCTGCACGAGAGAATTCATTAATTTATTTCTCATAAACACTAAATATTATATCTGTTGGTAAATAAAGGCAATAGTAGTATACCGCTGTTAAATCCTGGGTGCAAATGCGAGCTTGAATCGAGATTTTCCTAAATCATTTAGGTAGTGTGTTGTTGTTTGCATCCGTGAAATGCTGGTATTTTATACTCCCCCTTCCAAAGTTTAGGCTTAAACTTTCCCTTTCTCAGATCAATGTTAAAATAAAAAAATAGAAATAATTATTTTAGGGATAATAAAAGCCAACTATGCATACTTGTTTTTTTTCAAAATTAAATTTTCGGAAGCTCAACGTTTTTTTTCTTAAGGTATTTAATTGTTAGGATGCTCCTATAGAAATGAATAAATGAATGCATTAAACGAAGAATAATCTCACTTTAATTATAAAAAGACCCTCAAGAGTCATTCTTTGTAAGCATTAACATTACGCGAGGAAATGACATATTACAGGATTGGTTCACACTTTGTAAACAGTTTTTTGATAGTTGAACCTATGATAAATCAATATACAAAATACAATTAGAAGGGTTAAATTGAAACTCTTTTGCATTTATATATGGCATTTTAAAAAGCAAACGAAACAGTGATAATATATGTTCAGATTCTGTTACAGTAATAGTTTTAAAAACATGACAAAACCGTTTTTCAAGCAAACTAAAGTTACTTGTTTCCATTGCAACCAGCACTTCATCTTCTGAAGTAAATATTATTTTTAATGACAGTGAACCATAACAGACCCCTGATATGTAAAGAAATGAAATACTGAAGTTTGCATTTCTCATTTTCTTTGAAATTCTTTGATGCTTACAGAAAAAAGTATAATCACAAAAATAATGAACTCCAAGGAAAATTCAAAACGGATAGTCCCTAATCAAATGGCAAAATCAAAAGCTCAAACACATCAAACGAATGGATAACAACTGTCATATTCCTGCCTTGGTACAGGCATTTTCTTATGTAGAAAATGGTGGATTGAACCTGGTTTTATAGCTAGCTAAACCTCTCACTTGTATGACAGTCGTATCAAATTCCATTATATTGACAACGATGTGTGAACAAAACAAACAGACAGCCTGTCCCAAGTCAGAAGCCTCTAGCCCTTGTCAGTCTTGTATTATTTTTAATTTTAGTTTCTTGTGTACAATTTGGAGTTTAGTATGGCGTTCATTATCACTGAACTAGTATATATATTTGTTTAGGGGCCAGCTGAAGGACGCCTCCGGGTGCGGGAATTTCTCGCTGCATTGAAGACCTGTTGGTGACCTTCTGCTGTTGTCTGTTCTATGGTCGGGTTGTTGTCTCTTTGACACATTCCCCATTTCCATTCTCAATTTTATTTTATATGATATGTAAAAATGTCAAAAATAGGGGTACAGCAGTCAACATTGTATCATAATCTTAATCACTATAAAAACAAACAAATATGTAACAAAGAAGCACAAAAATATATAGACAAAGCACATTAGCAAAAACGAAAGACAAGAATACACAAATTTACTATAGCACAATAACACAATGACGGATGTATAAGTACAGAGCCACGTCATATGTATCAAAGAAACACAAAAAGGCATATAGACAAAGCACATTAGCAAAAATGAAAGACAAGAATACAAAAATTATCATAGAACAATAACACAATGTCGGGATGTACAAGTACACAATCATGACAAATGAATATCACAAAAAAACAGACTAAACAGTAAAAGTAATATTCATAAAGACAAATAAAAGAATACTATAACACGTTATTAAGATGATAAACAACGTCAGTACCCAGAATCTATACTTCAAGACCATCGTGTTTTATTTGTGAAGTTGATACGGAATATTTATCATCAAGGTCTTGGTACCTTCCGATGAACTTTTTTAGAAAAAGGACACTTTTTTAGAAAAAGGACATGACGTCCTTTGACATACCCCGGGATAATCAAATTTCTGCTCAGACACTGGTGACGTTTTACAAAGTCTGAGTAGGAGCTGCAAGCTTTTGAATACCGAATAAGTTGGGAAATGTATATCCCATATGCAAATGAAATTGGTATATTGCTACTAAGGTGGGGGGGAATTGATATTTGAATTGGTATTTGAATTGATATTTTCAAAATTAAAACCGTGTCGTTTGTCATAGATTCTGGCATTGAGATGACCGTGTATGTCAAATTCGAGGTATAAATCTAAAAATAAGGCAGAGGAAGCCGTGTCTATTGTTTCTTTAATTTCTAGTTCTGGGGGATAACAGAATGACTCTTAAGATATCAAAATGAGCCCTGTGATCTAAATGAATATGATTGTTTTATTGATGAACTAGAATCTACTTACGTAAACCATAGAATGTGACAAAACAACGATGCCTCAGAGGTTCCCATATAAAAACTACACACAGAGCCCCAGTATCCATCTCTAAAGTACTCCAGTCTGCCTTTACCGGTGTCACTTCTAGGTCCTATGAGTCTGAACTTTACATCTGGGACTAAATATTTTACAAAATATTGGTTTGTGGTCATATAGTTCGTTGTAAAACATGTTTCTTGTTTACATGCTGTTTATATATAACAATATTACTGTCCCTGAAACAATTACATCAACATTTTATGCAGATGTATTTTAGTTAGAAGGTTCCCCTTGAGTTGACGGACCTTTGGCTAACCATTATTCTTTGAAAGTATCCTTAATGACAAGAAACATAATTTCCTAAGATGACCTTTTTTACACCGAATTTGATTCATTTATACCACTGGTCAAAATATTCTGTGCAGTATAGGTAACAAAGACATTTCCCCGCAAAGGCATAACAATGTTTAAATATTGAAGTGTTTATTACTTAAAATTTTGTTTGCATTGTCGGTATAAACATGGCCTCCTTTCTCCTGACTTTTTGGTCGCGCTAAACCTGAAGGTTCTTCATTAAAGAGTAGGGCATCTCTTTATTCAATGTAGTGGTTGTAACAATTTGCATGTTTGCAGTATAGAATAAATCGAAAGCTTATGCTAAACAATAAACATATTTTATTGCATTATTTTGTAATTGGGGTTCTGTCTCATTTACCTTGCCCCCGTGTCTCTATGTGTTAGTTCACATTTATTGTTAATGACCACCATTAAAATAGTAAACGAATTGTATGTAAACATTGATTTTTGAAAAAAAAATTAAGTTGAGTAAACCTGTTAACCGTAGCAAATGTAGTAAACACAAAACGAAAACAACCTAAATGTCAATTTGAGAACATTCATAACTTCAAGCACCTTAGTTAGACATCTGAAATGGTTACGAGCAGTAGTAACTTAAATAAAAACCTTCAACGGGTTCTGTCCTACACTTCACACTAATATCCCCATCCATAACTACTCTATCCTGATTTCTCCATACAAAGTAGCAGTCTAGTAAATCATTTGCATCTAGTGGGCACTGTATGTAATTTATCCACACTGGCCCTGGCGTGTGCGGTATTGCATCAAATATCGGCACTCCTCCATACCTAGATAATATTTGGTTGAATTCATTTATTTTCGTGTCAAGACTGGTAACATTCAACCGATGGTCAAATATTTTAATATCGTACTATTTTAACTACAAACTCCGTCATGCATTTAGTCCAATAATGTAAGATATGCAAATTTGCGGATTTTATTTCATTTCTTTTTTATCTCGACTTTGATCACATGCATCAACAATAACAACATTCTTTTCTATTTTAAAAAATGCTCTCACATATCCGTGCAATCTAAAGAGTAGTTCAAAGATTCAATGGCGTCATTGGAACATCAATTAAGAAACAAACTATTTTATTATTGAATGGGCAAACGTTAATTGTGACAGTGTCGTACAGCTGCTAATGTTCTGTCAATATTAATAGCAAATATTTCAAAGGTTCTTACGATTTGATAAGGCTTAAACAAAAATTAAAATAACAAAAATACCGAACCCCAAGGAAATTAAATACGGAAAGTCCTTTATAAAATGGCAAAATCAAAAGCTCAAACACATGAAACGAATGGAAAACAACTGACTTTTAGATTCTAACAACTACATCATTTGGTCTCTGGTGAATAGTATGTTAATCAATAATCATACTACATCTTCTTAATTTTTTTATAAAGATTGAGCTACAAACCCACCAAAATTCTTAGGTTTACCGAGGTGTTCTAGAAGGGTCAGCAGATATTGCTCCACTAGCATTTCACGCCATGTTAACCGTCTTTAATTTCTTGAATGGTGATTATGTGTAGCTACACTGTTTTTACATCATGGTGTAATTAAAAACAAACTTACTTATATCCTATCATTTTGCAAATCATATTTGCTCCCGGGTAGCCAAGCCACCGTTTTGTCACAGTTCCCCAAATGTTGTTATGTAATATTTCGACTCGTCCTTCGTGTTCTATGTTCGATGCTGCTAAACGGACACGTACTCCTGATCCTGACTTATCTTTTAAAAGGATGAAAATAGAGATTATTGTACCACATTTGTGGGCAATTTGATTTTCAGTAAATTATTGCAAAAAGAACAATACGTTTTGTTTAACATTGTTAACATATTCAAAATCTTTTGATATGATTGAAGAGATGTAGGTAATCTGTTGATGAACCTAACAATTACTTTAAATATCTAAAACCCCCCCTTTTATCAAAATTCTCGCTCAATTTGTTTATCAATATTCATCGATAAACTCGAGTGAAACATCATTTTATGATTACTATATAAATGTAAAAATGCAATGACTATTTAAACATGTGAAATATATTAAAAAAAGATAATAATCTAGCAATAAAAATACAACATAAATATTTAAGACCAGATCACTAGTTACTGGAAGTTTAATTGTATCTAGAACGTCTCATCGTAAATTTTACTGTCTTTGGTAAGCTTGTTAATATACTTTGAAGCAAAGCTACTAGTAAGAGCTCTCTGTTCAACGACAAGAGGATTCATAAAATTCCATATGAGATTATTTTAATCTTTATCCTGCATTTCAAGTTCGAAAAGTTCATCCCACGCCCGGCACCATTTTTCTCACCTTTTTCCTATTTTCGAGATATATAAAGCTAACAGTGAAGATGCAAAGCTCTATATGATAGGATATGAAGCATTTTAGAGTTTAATTCAAGTCATCGTTTATAAACACTAAGAGAAATGGATGGTTTCATCGTAATTTTAGTCTTTCACAAAATATTTTTGATATCAAGCTGACATTAGGATCTCTCCGTACATACCAAGAATAAAGAATTTCTTCCTGAGAATGTTTTTATCTATATCCTGACTAGAAGTCCATGACGATTGAAAGATCATATAGTTCTATTCAACACCTGGACACTATGCTTTGATTCTTATATATTAGTATGCGAATCTAGAGGTGCTTTATTGGTGTTTTTTGTCATTTGTGTAGTTGTGTCTTATTGACGTTTTATCTATTTTTATTTTTGTCAAATATTTTGTTTGGTTGTTTTACACTTACTTATTTCAGCCTTTGTCCAACATCTAATGACCAAATTAGTACCCTAACTATCACATTGACAGGATCTGCAGCCTTCTCCCCACTCCAGATGACTACATTCATTATAATTTGAGGCGTTCTCTGGGCACGACAAGTTTTGCAAAACTGCTCGTGATAAGTCAAACAATGTAAATTTGTAAATAGCTTGTCTTTGATAACTAATACCACCATTCCTATATCAATAATAATTAAAGGATGACGAAAACAATGTGATTAAACGTCATGAAATAAGACTTACATTTTAGAGATGTCAGTTTTAGAGATCTTTTTGTTAGATTCGGAGCGTTGATTTTTGTTGATTTTTGCCCCTTCCTTTAACAGTATATTTGTATCTGAGTTGACTATTCTACTTTATGAAAATAATTAGTAACACGATCTGATCGTGATCATCATTTGAGTTGTAGTTGAGCGTTGCAATATCTGAGGGTCTGGATGGGGTTTATAGAATATAGAATGATAAATAAAAAGTACAAAATAAAGGGCAAAAAAAAATAAATAAATACAGAAAATTAGACAATAAATAAAGAATAGAGAAAAATGTGCTGCTAAAATATAAAGAATAGAGAAAGAATAATTGGCAAAATGGATAAAGAATATAGACAAATAGTTAACAAAATTAGAATAAAGAAATGAATGACCCCAATCCAGATCCTCATACTTGAAACGTTAGTAATATCGATAATTCATACATGTGTGTAGAGCTAGCATCGTGATCAGACATGCCTGTGAATTTGCACATTTTGTACAAAAGAGGTTAAGTTGATACTTTTTCGTAATGTTGTTATTGTATGATTACAGTCAAAAGCGGGCTTCAGAGTTAATATGAAACTACCTACATTGAAAGATGAGATTATAAACTATCAGAAATCAGAATTAAATCCTGGTTATAGAAAAGAACATTTAGATTATTTAATATAAACATTGTTTATGACTACGAGTATGAATGGTTAAAAAATTCTTCAAAAAGATTACCTATCTAATCTAAAATACAATATAACTAGAATACTTACACAATATCATTACTGCTTGAAAGTTAATTAGAATGAACAAAGGATCTAAGCGAGCAACAAAACGGTCCAAAGATGTGCCAATTACTCGATTTGTGGATTTTATTTTTTTAAAACAGCAGTCTGACAATTTCAGGCTTTCATTGCGAAAACTGTTCCTAACGACAATAACATTGATTTTTTAGCATTGATAACCACACGATCAAACATTTCAGGAAGAGGTAACATTTGTATGAATCAATTAATTCATTTGTGTCAGGCACGATTTCAAAAGAAAATACTAGATTTCATAAAGATAGTTCTTTATCAATTACCTTCTGTGGTATAAAGAATGATACTTGCAGTTCAGGTTTTCAGACCCACATTTTATATATCAAGCTTATTCAAATTAATCTAGTTGGTGCTTTTACAGAGTAGATAACTGTAATTGCACATTTAACGAGTTACAAAGGTCTTGGTTTTATCACCACAGGCTTAAAAGCAGAAAGTTTATGTTCTATTTTCAAACTTTTGGCGGAAGCTATTGGTTAAGTTAGACGTGGTTGTAGATATTTTGAGATTACAGCTTTTCATCATGCAGCCACAAATGCTGCATTATATCAGGTTGTTATCCGGAAACAGCTATGCATATTTGTCGTTAGAAAAACAGATATTCTAGGTTCTACATTATCATTCGCTTTTAAATGAACAGATAAAGAAATAGAGGAATATTTCCAAAATGTTCATAAATTAAAGTATGAAGTAAATTATAAACTGTAGTTTTTCGATTATGATATCTTTATTTTCCACACAGTGTCATAAATTAAGTACCGTTTCCAGAAAACAGTTATATCTTTATAAAGGCATTGTATACTTGCATATATATCATTCATGTAAAAGAGGGACGATAGATACCAGAGGGACAGTCAAACTCATAGATCGAAAACAAACTGACAACGCCATGGCCAAAAATAAAAAGACAAACAGACAAATAAAAGTACAGATGACACAATATAGAAAACTAAAGACTTAGCAGCACGAACCCCACCAAAAACGGGGGGTGATCTCAGGTGCTCCGGAAGGGTAAGCAGATCCTGATCCACATGTGGCACCCGTCGTGTTGCTTATGTTATTACACATCCGGTAAATAGTCTAATTCGGTAGGTCACATTCGTGAAAAGGGAAGGGTATTGTAGTTACGACATAAGGAACATATCCGATAACATTTGTAAAACGGTTATTCCATAACGGTCAACCAACTCGTGATGGCGTCCGTAAAATTTACGAAGGGATGATTTCAACTTCACCATTTGGAACTCTTGGTTTAATAGCTTCCTTGTGAGCAGCAATCCTCTATCAAGGATATCATGATAGGAAATACAAGCCCGGGAATATCGTATCAATTGGGAGATATATACTCCGTATGCAGGCGCTGCTGGAATGTTGCTACATAGAAATGGAAAGATCACAATTGGGAAGCTGAAATCATCTCTATTGTCGTAAAGTTTGTTTTCAACCTACCCTCATTGTCAATTTCTAGATGTAAGTCAAGATATGAGGCAGACTTAACTGTATCTCTAGTATCCTTTATCTCTAGTTCGATGGGATAGATTCGTTCAACATAGTCACCAAATTTTGTATTATTTAGTGAGAGAACATCATCTATATAGCGGAACGTAAAGTTAAAAGATATTGCTAACTTCTTATCTTTCTTCCTAAGAAGTTCCTGTATGAAGTCAGCCTCATAATAATAAAGAAACAAGTCGGCAAGAAGTGGGGCACAATTGGTTCCCATTGGAATTCCGACAGTCTGTTGAAAAACATGTCCTCCAAACGTAACAAATATGTTGTCAATCAAGAAATCAAGCATCTTGATAATGTTAGTTTCAGAGATTTTTTTGTTTGAATCAGAGTGATTCTTTACAAAGTAGGATTTATCCCTCCCCAAGACAAGATACTTTTATCTACGTTCGCCATTCTTTTTAATGAAACAAAGTAATACCAACTCTTTCAATTTGTCTTTTAGTTTGGAATGGGGAATACTTGGTTTGTAAGTGAGTATGTATTGGCATTATTAGACATTAATACGGTTTTTTTTTTCAAAAGATATAAATTGTCGATAAGGAATATGTTTATAATTTATAAAAAGGTTAAAATAAAAATTTGACATGTACAATAAAAGAACGGTGTTAAATCGACCTAGTATGATTGTTCATGGTTTTTTCTTTTTGTGGGAGTATCTTTTGGAATTCATACATATTGTCGACGCCTTATTCTCTTATAAATGTGGTTTATAAGCTAAACATATTGTTTTGAACTTTGTTGAGGGGAAAACAACATATTTGGTATTGAGGTTAAACATGTGTGTAGCAAAAAGTTTGATCTGCGAAATTAGATGTGGACCTAGTATTTATACAATGTACACCCATACCAATGTTCATCATTTGTGTTAACGCCATCACAGCCTTAATACATTCGTATGATTATTTACATCTTCTTTGTATACATTCTTATTATCAATTATGAGCAAAGGAAGCGTTCATCCTTTTACTATTACGCTAAATCATGTGATGAAAAATTGCTGTTATTTGTTAACACTGCAGTATAATAACGTTTACGTACCTAAACCCAAGGGTTTGGCAAAGAGCATCAACTTCGAACTGTCCGATTCCGTCATGGCATACAAAGCCCCAGACACCATTCAAGAAAACTTCAACAACACCTTCTCTTGAATTCTGGACCTCGAAACCTGGTATCACCAAACGAACAGGCACATCTGGAACTAAAGCCATTAAATCATGATGTTAGCTGTATTTAACATATTTCACAGGGAAAAAAATCATTGTTATCATACAACCTTTTGCTACTGGCAGTCAAATTGTATACTATGATTGCCTTTAGAAGCGTCACAAATCGAAATTGTTAACCATGTAAGATTTACAAGATTGGTATCGAAAATGATGAAGGATTGGTAATGGGAAAAATAGCCTATATGAGATAAAAAGTAAAATAACAAAAATACCGAACTCCAAGGAAAATTCAAATCGAAAAGTCCCTTATAAAATAGTGGAAGGAGTTTTGATACATCTGAAAATATATAGCAGGAGCTTTGAGCAAATTGTGAAGCAGTTTAGTGGAACTCGATTAAAGAATGAAGAGTGTGGAACTTCATCCAGGTCGATCAGAAGTCAGCCCAAAAGACATGCATACTACTTATATCAAAAACATTTTGTTTTCACCAAGTTCACAGTTACAAATGTATATAAAATCAATACCAAATGTAGCGTTATATCGTTTATTAGTCCATCTTACCAATTTTTTAAATACTTATATACCTTTTGTAATCATCGTCTGTTTCTACACATTCAAAAAGAAGAGGGTCATAATTTTTAATTAAATTAAATCATCAGTTTTCTAATGAAGGGTATGGATTTGACAATGCAATTTCACAGATGTCAGGTTCAAAGATTGACACCGGTAATATTTTGAGAAGGAAGAACTACTCTTTAAATTAAGGCTACAGTAACTACCGATGTTCAAATCTCGTAAATTGATTGGGAAGGGACAAATCAAGTTATCAAACAAAAACTAAGGAAAATCGCATTAACTTCAATACGAGCAAAATCGGGTGCATCGACAGGGGAAGCGTCTCCTGCTCTGCATGCATCACCCGCCATGCGAATTCACACTCAGTAAAAATGAAAAATCGGGAATAAGACATTCGGTAATTTGACGGACCAGATGACTATACTGCTATCTTTTAAAAAATCTAAAACCGACAAAACTTGAAGTTAACCGCCAAATTAAACGTTCAGTCAGAATACCTATCTCCAACAAATAGTTTTCACATCAGACGTAAATATTGATGATAATTATAAAAAAAACAACAACAAGAAACTGTTCGGATTTACCATTAATCTGTCATTCCAGTGGTCATATCGCTGCCGGTAATGTGGATATCATTTAAAACCAAGAACTTACACGCTTAGCTTGAATATGTTCTAAAGTTACGGACATCAAAGGTTAGCCTTAACACTAGAGTGACTTTTTTACAGGGTTAACAGTCGTTATCAACATCTTCCTTTTTTCAAAGATAATATTATTAGTACATACCTTAATATATGTTATAGAACTGACGTGAAGTCTTTAAACAATGAATAATTACATATTTGAAACAAAAAATAGTTAATTCCTTTAACAATTAAGACGATATGGGAAATTGCTAAATAATTCTTTACAAATGGTTCTTTCTGATTGTGGTCTGGTAGTTTCAAATACTCACTGGCCTCTCACAGCAGATGTATGTTTCGATCTTTTAGGAGACTTCATAAAATCTGTTTGGTATTGTGTGTTTTTCCTTTTACGACAAATGTGAGTTATTGGTGTTTGGTTCGGTCCTTTATTTGCAAATGTCTATTAACCTTTTCATCTATTTTTTTTGTTATATTAAAGACCCGGTTAATATTCAAACCATATCTTTGGTTATATGTGTCAATGGGTTGCTGTCTCTTTAAAGTATAACCAACAACTCCCTTACAACGTATGTTCAAACAATATAAATTAGAAACAAAATTAAGAAAGCAAAGACGAACAAAAGAAAAAAAATAAAACCAACAACAGAGGGTAGAAAAGAGAAGAAATCGTTATAACAGACCTTCCAAAGGTTGTAACCTGCAAGTGACTCCAACCACAAGGTCAATATCACATTCATCATTCTTTTGCTTGTAACACTGGCTGATATCTGTATCCTTTAGCAAACAGTGGATTCCAAATATACACATTCTTTTTTTATTTCTTCTTTTCTTATAATGTAGATAAAAAACACGGTTTTCATCAGATTGAGTGCGTGCTTCTCCTCCATGTCTGTAAAAGAAATTAAATTGATTTGATGTACCAACAATCGTATCTATATATTAGTATTAAGAATCTATCTCAGGCATTTCGAGTTAAGGTTGAATTCGGCTATGATGTTTAGGTCCTTTTTTGTCATACAGATTTTAACGTTGCAGTGTATTAACGCATCCATGGCGTTACATAGTTAAGGTTTTAGCGTTCCTGATGAAGGTCAATCAAGAAAAGCGTTTTGAACAGGCAAATTTTATAACGTGTTTATTTCATTTACTACCGCTGCTGGTGGACTAAGTCCCCGGGGGTATCATTAGCTCAGTAGGTAGGACTTCGATACTGAAATTATTCATAACATACTTATTTAAAATTTCCCATTAATAAATAAAGAAATTATTAAAAATTCTTAGGAAAAGTTGACTTTAAGTGAATGTATGTATAAGTCCTTTTTGTCATACAGCGTCTAACGTTTAAGCGTATTTACGCATCCATGGCTTTCAAACGTTTAGATTTGAGAGTTCCTGATGAAGGTAAATCATGAAAACTCTTTGGATGCTTTTATTGAAAAACAATATAAACTATCATGTAGGTTTCTAATATCAGTTTTAGATGCTGAAAATCAGAATCGCCAATTAATGTCATAATTTTATCTGATCGGGAAAAAAAATCTCAATCCATGTTACATAATTACTGTTATCTTGTAAATATACGTTTGATTTTTCACCTAAACACATAAAGTTGTACTTTTCTTTGTTGATGTTGTTTGTTTTACTTGTTTTGTAAGCTGTTGTTTTTCTTTTAGGCATTTTTATTTTCCCATGGCATTGTCAGTTTATCTTCGATTTATTCGTTTAAATGTCCCTTTTCCCGGCTTTGGTGTCTTCTGTCTCTTTTTTCACACATGATTGTTTCTGCACTAAAATGTCCAGATTAAATCAACCTGTTCATGTATCAGAAAACCTAATATAATTTTGAAATGCTTAAAATAATTTAACTATTTTTTTTGTCAATTTTCAGCGGTCAAATACCGTCTCTTTTCATATCCATCCATTGATAAATGTGTACTGGCGTATACTTTGGTCTGGAAAAATGTTTTATTCATACGTTGAAATTGAGTTTTGAATTAGCTTTCAGTAACTGCCAGTACTCATAAATCGGTATTTTAACTTTGTATTTTTTTTTTGTATAAAGTATCTTTAACCTCGCCTCATTCTTCATGTTGGTTTCCCAAGCTAGTTCTTCATAGCCGACTTGTGGTTTTTAGCCGGTTTTTTAAATGCTGACCACTAGAGCAATGAATGCTAAGTAACCATTTAATACTCAAGAAATACGCGAAATTCATCTACATCTTTTGCTTTATCACTTAAAAAGTAACCCGCGTAAGTATGAAGGATACTTTAAATATTTATGAACAAAGCAGAATACTACAGTTATTTGTACCAAGTCAGGAATATGACAGTTGTTTTCCATTCGTTTGATGTGTTTGAGCTTTTGATTTTGCTATTTGATAAGGGACTTTCCGTTTTGAATTTTCCTTGGAGTTCGGTTTTTTTGTTATTTTACTTTTTTTGACGGGGTGGCAGGTTTAAAAAAACAAACGTGGACTTCACACTTATTTTGTTTTTTTATATCATTTTGTAGGTATACGTCAGGGTATGATATACGTCATAAAGACAGCAACACAGCCAGAATGTATTGTTGTTACCTCGTGTTCAGTAGAATAGTCTTACTGTATAATGAATATGTTGTTGCACATACATTTGCAAAAGTAAAGGGAAACTACAAGGTATAAGTGCAATGTGATCCCCTCATTTCAAATACGATTAATTAAAGAAAAGCTTAGTAAATGAAAACATTCTCACATTTTCAAAGCAGATTTATTGTATTTGTCACAAAATCATTTATCTGTTGGATTTCGTAGTAGCCATAAAGAAATTTGGCCTCATTTCCCACAAGAGAAAATATTCTGAAAGTTTCAACTCCCAAATATATTGACCAGATAATTTTGCTGCAGGGAACCTTAAACATGCCAAAACATAATCTGTTATCAAAAGTTTCATCACTTTATGCGATGGGCAAACTAAACATTAATCAATCAATATTTGTCATAAGAATAAAATTTATTATAATAGAAAAAAATGCAAATAGTCCCAATCTTATTCATGTGTTATTACATTTGTACTTACAAAAATCCAGCAGATTTTTACAACATTATCTAGAAGTAATTTTATCTAACTTATATAATATTTATATAACCACATGAGACAAAGAACTTATTTCGGTAATTTTTGTTTTGTTTAAGTATCGTTTGTTATCTCGTATGTTTGAATCTTACCGATAGACTGGGCAAAGGTAAACTCTAATCATATTAGAAACCACTTACTGGAATACTTCATCAAAAAGTGAGTCCTTTATTTGCTGGTTGTCAGTAATCATTGATTACACAAAATAAAAACGGATCTGGAAGATTGAAATTACAGACAAGAGTCATACATGATTGAATTCGTATTTGCATCTACGTATAAAAATAAATAGATGTGGAATGAGTGCCAATGAGACTAATGTCCACCAGAGACCAAATTACATATAAGTTAACAACTATAGGTCACCGTACGGCCTTCAACAATGAGCAAAACCCATACCGCATAGTCAGCTATAAAAATGAAAAATGTAAATCAATTCATAGGAGAAAGCTAACTGCCTGATTTATGTACAAAACAATAAACGAAAAACAAGTATGATATACAGCAGAAAACGACAACCACTGAATTAAAGGCTCCTGACTTGGGGCAGGCACATACAAGATGTGGCGGGGTTGAACATATTTGCTGGCGCACAAACTATCCCACTAACCTGGGACAGTGGTGTAACAGTACAACATACGAACAAACTATAAAAATCAGTTGAAAAAGGCTTAACATATCAGATCGATACAAAGTAGAAATACATTTAACAAAAACACAGACCGGACGTGGCAGGGTATTTTTACATCTCCACAACAAAAAAGACACTATCCAGTATGAATATTTGTGACGTGAAACATTCTAGAATTTTCGATTCACGGTTGGAAGAGATTAACTTTCAAAAGGGCATACACAATTTTACAAATTAAAAAGAGAAGAAAGTGTTGCCTTCAAGAGCCTATATGCTAATGTAAGACTGTTAAAAGAAACGTTCACACAACTGAATGAATCAAAATACAAATATAACTTTAAATACATTAACTAAGAATTAAAGAGAATGATATACGTACGGATATCCAAGTGAATGGCACACAACAGATGCCTCTACTGCAGTGAAGCCCCAGCAAGTAAAACGATTCCATTTGTTTCGTTGGAGAATTTCCACTACTCCCTCTCCTACGTGTGTATATGACTCTATTCTTGTCGGGTTCAATCCTGATTCTGAAATTGATATGACTGTTAATTTGTATACCCTTCAATCTTCAGTCTGACATTCTTATTATACGGTAGCATTCATGTAGTGTGTTTTTATATAAATCAACTGTTTAAGATCTTTTTGCGATTAAAAAGTGTCACACAAAAGAATGCGGAAACGACATTATAATATACAGCTAATACTAACAATGACCACTGCCCTTTCCTCGATCTTGATATCTATATCATTAACGGAAAGCTTAATACTAAAATATATGATAAAAGAGATGATTTTTCATTTCCTATCGTTAATTATCCATTTTTAGATGGTGACGTTCCCTTGTCACCATCTTACGGTGTTTATATATCTCAACTTGTACGATTCGCTCGTGTATGTAACAATGTTTTAGATTTTAACGAGAGAAATTTATGTATTACTGAAAAATTATTACACCAGGGTTTTCGATATCACAAACTAGTCAAAACATTTACTACATTTTATCATCGGTATAAGGACATCATTCGTAAATATAGCTCAACATGCAGACTTCTTATACGTTCAGGTATTTCACATCCAATTTTTTATGGAAATATTCTTTATAAAGCACAAAAATGTCAGTATTCACCTCTGAAACTAACAAAACCTTTAAATAGACTTATTAAGAAGGGATATAGTTACGATACTGTTGTCAGGTCATTAAAGATTACATATTTTGGCGTTAATATTGATTCACTTATTGGGTCTTTGCATCGGCACTAAACACATTTATTTAAAAACCAGTTGTTGGCATGACACGGGTTATGTTCTTCTCATATATGTTATGATGGTATGATACTAAACCCCTAACGGGAAGGATTGTGCCTGATATTCATATGATGAAGACATAATCTTTCAATCAGTTTAATTGAAGTCTGGAGCTGGCATGTCAGTTAACTGCTAGTAGTCTGTTGTTATTTATGTATTATTGTCATTATGTTTATTTTCTTTGGTTACATCTTCTGACATCAGACTCGGACTTCTCTTGAACTGAATTTTAATGTGCGTATTGTTATGCGTTTACTTTTCTACGTTGGCTAGAGGTATAGGGGGAGGGTTGAGATCTCATAAACATGTTTAACCCCGCCGCATTTTTGCGCCTGTCCCAAGTCAGGAGCCTCTAGCCTTTGTTAGTCTTGTATTATTTTTAATTTTAGTTTCTTGTGTACAATTTGGAGTTTAGTATGGCGTTCATTATCACTGAACTAGTATATATATTTGTTTAGGGGCCAGCTGAAGGACGCCTCCGGGTGCGGGAATTTCTCGGTGCATTGAAGACCTGTTGGTGGCCTTCTGCTGTTGTCTGTTCTGTGGTCGGGTTGTTGTTTCTTTGACACATTCCCCATTTCCATTCTCAATTTTATCAAACGTTAAAATAAAATCGGAATTTCTATATAATTAACTTATAACAGGGTTAGTCTTTTTTCTTGAAGAAACAATTATAAAAACTCGATTAAAGTTTTTTAAACAAAATTTAATCCATAGGTCACGTTAAATACTACGAACTTAATGTATAAGGTACTCTATATTAATCTGGATACCTAAAACACAAAAATAAAACAATAAACATGCATTCTGATTAAAATAAAAAGAACAGAACTCACTCCACAAAATACAACAAAGAAATCTAACCAACCAATGCTAAATCCGACTTTATATTACCTATAATCGTTACAAGTGGGGACTATAGAGTTATCTAATCATCTTCTACTTTTCAATACATTTTAATGCTACTTCTGTAGACAATAATTTACAGAAAATGTTTGTGTGGATCCCAACAAGAAATGCGGAAAGAACAGTGTTCATTTTATAAGTTCTTACAGAGTTAATATATATCAAAAGGGTCGTCAAAAATACTATGTCAGGGAAAGAGTTACAAGACCACAGCCAAAGTAAAGCTAAGACACAAAGACTAACAACTGTGTGCAAAAAACTAAACAGAACACTATTAATTGGGCAACTTAGGTACCCCAGAACGTAACGCAGTTCCTCCTCAATTGGTGGAAATTGTCGAGTTCAAGTACCACCCATGTCCTGTTCGGTAATATAATATATTGCATTTAGTAAGTTATTAACACAAAAGCGAGAAATGGAATAATCAAATAACGACTGATTATAACCTCCCGATTTTATCTTCTGCAAAAACCTTAACTTTACAATAACGACTCTTTGATTAGATTGATTCCTTGTAAGGAACAACCCTTTACAAAATGATTGCCTGATATGGAACTCGATCGCTATAATTTGTATCAGCTTTTGGATATATGCTGCAGATGTAGAAACTGTAAATTGCTGTTATATAAAAATGGAAAGTTCACAATAGAAAATATGAAAAAAAATGTCAAAAATTGGGGTACAACAGTCAACATTGTGTTATAATCTGAATCACCATAAAACAAACAACTATGTCAAATAAGAAAAACAAAATGACATATTGACACTCTATAGACAAAGCACATCATCAAACATGATAAAGTTTAATTAATTCAAATTTTAACATTTAAGTCTAAATATGAAGCAGACCTGAATGTGTGTGTATATATGTAGTCCTTTATCGATAAGAAATAGTGAGATAGATGCGATTTGCATATAGACCAAAATTTGAAATTATCAGTGAAATAGCATCTTTCTACATCTTTATGGCATATGTTTTTCCATTAACAAAATATATACATCGTATATTTACCATGAATTTGAACTTTGAATTGTCTTTCTATGATAGTAGTTAGTCTTCTGACACTGCAACTAATAGTTCCTGAGTCTGATGCTATCGTATTTCGTATAACAAGTTTACTTATGTATCGTCTACCTCCCACTTTCTTTGTGTGGATCAAATATCGTCCATCATCGGTGTCATTTATTTTGATTTTTGCAGATGTTGTATTATCGATTCTCATCCACTGACCGATAGAATAAAGAATAAACAAAGTAAATTTTTTTTATATTTTTAGGATTGTTAAATGATAATAAACTACAACATACAGTAATTTGACAGATCGTTTGAATGTATTGTCGAAAAAAAAGGGGAAAACAAAAATCATACAACAGTTTCATCTTGCTTTTCATATAAAATCGATGGTGTTTAATTTTAGATTGTACCTTGTTGACTGGGTATTGGTTCACATGCATTCATATACGATACATGTAATTGTTTGGTCTCTCTCCTTGTGGAGTTATGCGCATGCGTTCTCTTCGTACACGTTGCGAAAATTTAAATTTGTAAGTATGCATTTGAAAACAAATTTTAATTATTCGACATGACATTCCGTCTCTTGACGAAATATCCGAATTTCCACTTCATTAACGATTTCGGAACTAAATGAAACAATATTATGTAGGATACGAATCAGTTCCAAAATTGATATGATTTTCGTAATTTCGGTTACCAAATCAGCAATACTTGAAAAAAAACTAATGAATCAATTAACAGCAGTTTATATTTTGATGGTTTGCTTGCTTTTAAATTTAACGGTTCTTTTAGTTATGGGTAGGTAGATAAAGAGGAAACAATGCATCAATTTTGCGTTGTAACATTCTTCAAATAGCAAAACAAAAAAGCCAGATATCTTATAAAATGCTCATGTAGTAATATGTCCTTGGACTTACTAATTGGTTTTACTTTGAAAATTTGGTGTCACTTAGTATTATATTAGATTCGGGAAAACCAAAGCCTTACACATGATAAATACATTGCTCGTTTTATGTTAAAGATCATATGTTGACCTTTTTTTTAATCGTGTTGTTAGATTGCTGTCTTAACGATTTCAGTTTCTCTTTGTCATTGTCCCATTTCTCAGTATTAACGTCGAATGAAGTTCGCATATATGTATTGATGCATATTATTGTTTCAAAAAATAATAAGATTTTGATCATGTGGGTGAAACAAATACAATTTTCATTTGAAATGAATATTGTGTGCTGAACTTACTTATCATATTTCTGCATGATTGTTGTGAGATAGATTCCGATTGTTGTGCGATAGATTCCAGTAATTTCAATGCATATACAACTTTACCTCGAAATAAGGTTCTGCATAAGTCTTGACTTTACATCTAAGAATTATTTTACTGTTTTCCCCGGTTCCATAATTACTGAAATAAGGTGATATGAACTCTAATCCAGTTACATTTGGGATATTTAAAATAAAAATAAAATCTAAAAAAATATATCATAGTTTGCATGTAAACTGGAAATGAAAGAAAAGTGTACTCTTCAGATAGGTTTACCTATTGGTCACACATTAGAGATTTTTCACATATATTAACGTTCATTATACACATCAATCTGCATAGATTAAAGGTCTTCTTTTGTCATCATTGTTTATCAAATTCAAAAACTCAAATTTTGTTAATTGAAATGTATTTTTCATGAATAAGCATATTTCAGTAAAATTAAATTTATGAGTCTCCCTTTAGGTACAAAGGCTCTACTGGTAAAAATAAAATTATTAAAATTAGTTCATTTTTGTTTGCATCACGATGGGTTCCAATTGTGGAGCAGAAACTATTTCCCTTCCGCAGCACATGTTTCACTCCCGTGTAAGTAGAGATTCGTGTTGATATATGAAAATAACACGTAATCAACGGATTTACTTTCACCAGGAACGCCCAAATCTTAACATTTGTAAGTCAGGGATGTGTAAATACGTAAGAAACTTAACAACAACAGTGAACAAGGACCTACAAAAAATAGTCAAATACATCTAAGGATTACTTTTAAGTCTACTATGATTTTGTGTTTTTGATTCTTTCCGCCGTTTTAAATTTTTGCCACGGTGTTGTCTGTTTTAATTGGACTTTTCAATTAATGCCTAAATATCTCCTTTGTCTTTTTACATGTACAGAATTACACTATTTGAAAGTGAACCTTGAAAAAAAATATGAAAAGAACACTTTTCATGCGTCTGAAGCGCTTTTTCCTCCAACAGTAACGCTAAAAGTCGAATATTATGAAAGCCAAAGGATGTATAAGTACCGAAACGGTTGAAGAGCTATATCACAAATAAGGACATATAAATGATAACCAAGTCTATCTTAGGTCAAATTTACCTGAGGGAGTTGAAACCTCAATTTTGTAATAATTTATAAATCTATAGACGAACAGCAGCAGTATTGACACTGTGCTAAATACATGCAAATAACACAACGTTATAAATTTCGTGCGTCTGGAGCGCTTTTCTGGATTTACCTTTACTAGCAAAGTTCAACGCCGAATATTTGAAAGCTAATGATGTATAAGAAGAGTTATATGACAGACAAGGACCTAAAAAGAATAGCCAAATCCTTCTTAAGTCAACTATGGCTGAGAGATTTGAAACCTTAGTTTCTTTATACTTTATGAATTTATAAACAGACAATATTAGAAAGTAAAGTTATAAATCATGTCAGAACCGACGTATAAACTACTGAGCTGCTGATACCATCGGGGATGATAGTCCGCTAGCAGCGATATCGACCCAGTGCAGAAAAAAAATGAAAACAACACTATATAAATTGGATGCGTCCGAAGCTCTTTTCTAGACGTACCTTCATCAGGAACGCTCTAAACCGAATAGAAGTTTATAATTATAGTACAATTTAAAATTTAGACTGAAATTTATACTCACATAAATAGCCATATAATAATTGGAGAACAATCCAGTCTGCTGTGTAGCACATCATGCACTCTGGACATATATAGTAATGTGATAACCTAAATATTGCCTCTTCGTAATATAAAAAAAAAACCTTTCTGTTACAATTTGATGCACTTCATAAGTGGTTATTATCTCATATCGACATTAAGCTTAACTAAATTAAAACTGTCATTGTGTAATTTCATTGGCATTTGAATTATTTTTAATTTTAACATAAATAATTTTCGCACGATCTGGGCTCATGCCAACTTAAATTCTAGTATTATAATTTCAAATCATGATGGAAATTGTATCTATTTTCTTATTTTACATTTCTGTAACATTTTTCTAACAGTATCGCTATACCGGAAATTAGGAAACTTGTCAGCAATTTCGTGGAATTAATATACAGTTAAACAGTTATGTTTACCTAGTATAAATCCCCAAGGTACCTCGGTCTCCTCTTTACTCTCTCTGATACTTTAAACTAACATTATTTTTTATCGGTTATTTCTTAATATCATAACGAGTTGGTAGATGTATCTTGTCTAACTGTAAGACAGTAATAAATTCCATTTGTATTCTTCGGAAAATACTTGTACTATGTCAGGAGTATAACAATTGTTTTCCATTCGTTACTTTTCTTGATATATACGAACTTTTGATTTTGTCAGGTTTTGTGGACTTCCCCTTTTTTGAATTTACCTTAGAGTTAGGTTTTTTCGTTTATACAATTTATTCTAAAGCATCACATATATATTATATATATATATAATTAATCCCTAAACATGATCGAACGTGGACGTTGGTGAAATGAAATAACGAACATAAACAATTATGAAGAAGATACTAGAAGAAAATATGACAACACCATGGCAAAAAGTAAAACGACGAATAAACAAACAATCTATAAAACAAACATAGAAACCAAAAGATTAAAAAAAAAAAAAAAAACACGAACCGCCAAATAAAATCATTAAGCGTGAAGTCAATTGCTCCGGATAAATAGACATATATAATATTTTTTTAGTGAAATGGTTTGATGATGTTCAAGTGAATTTACCTTCATCATTTGTATCTTTGATGAGTTTGTACATCTGTTGGATTTTCAGGTATTTGTATTCGATCACCACTAAAGAGAAATAACGAATATGTGTATGGTAGTGCTATTATTTGGAATGATTACAGAAACAGGACATTTCCGCATTCAAATCAAACAAATTATTGGTATTATAATGAAAAGGATAATATTGAACTAATGCATGCATATATAATAAAACAAGGACAATGTGCACCTTTATCGTTATTACGAATCAATAACGTCTAATCTACAAGCAATAATTTAATTCGGTGATCGTTGATCGAAACCTTTGCCTGCTAATGTTCTTCGAAAAGAAAATATATGCACACTTTTGTTATAGTAAAATATTGTCATACAAAGCATACGACACTTTTTTTTTACTTGAACGATCATATGACTTTAAGCCAAACTGAATGATTTAAAAAAAAAAGGTGGAAGATAACAGAGAATTTAAAACTCAAAAGTAGAATTGAGACAGACAAAATCATGACAAAAAACTAAAAACGGCGAAAGCCATTCCGAAAATCTAAAGACTAATCAGCACTAACTCAATCAAACACTGGGGTGATCTCAGGTGCTCAAAAGGTGAGCCGATCCAGCTCCACATGTGGCACCTTTGGTAAGAAATACAAATGTGATGTAAAGTTTCATTTGATGATGTCGCAAGCCAATTAACCTATCGTTTTAAACAGTATAATACATTTTATAGTATTAGCAATTATTGATTCCATACAGTCTGCATGTTTAATATCGTATGCGTTGTATAGTCTTTCGCAGTCTTTTTTGCATAACACTGCACGATATAATATGCTTAATTTAATCAGGAAAATGTCAACAAAATGGAATTTCTACATTTACAAAGGACTTTTGTCTTCTTATTTACTACGACTCTATCGAACCATTGATAACTCCCTAATGGCGAGGTGTTTTAATTTCATAAATCAGTGTTTTATTTTTCAAATGTCTCAAATATGATGCTATTTTGTTTGCGGATTCTTCCACATTTACATGATATTTGGTCGACCAATGAGGTTTTCGGAACGATACCTCGATGTAATTTGATGAATCCATCTTCATTGATGTTAATGTTCAATATATGTGAAGCTACACTGATTATTCTTTGCTGCACTGATTATTCTTTGCTGCTCTCTAGAATATCTGTGTAAATGTTTAGACTGTTGCTGTCTCTCTAACCTGCCTTTATGTATGAAATGAATTTTTACTAAAAACCTGGTTTCATGGTTGTGATGTTATCTGTTTCGGTCATATCGGATTTTATATCTAGCAAGTCACTAATGCCTTTCTGCAGTTCTTCCGCTAGTTTTGCTTTACATCTATTAAGCAATGATCCAAACTGTCTGTAGTAAACAGATTTTGATCTGAAATTGTTATCTTAATCTAAACAGATCTTGAAAAACTGAACACTGAATTATTGGGTCATTTTCAGTCTTTCAGCCAATTTTCATACTTATCCACTGTGGTAAGTTCAATACTGTTCAGACTATTTGCTTGTAGTCAGTTAAGGAATGTTCGGTTTATGTTCAGACTGGCCAGTAGTTGTAATTTATCTGTACACATTAACAACATACTAACAACTACTGATCAGTACTAAATTGACTGTAAGTGAACTGTCTAACCAATACCAGATTTACCGCAGTGGATAAGTCTAAACATTGACTTAAAGACTGACAATGACTAAACAATTGATTGTTCAAACTTTTCAGAATTTTTTAAGTTAATAATTACCGTTCAAAACTAAAATTCATTTACTAGTGTGTTTCCAGTGTTTAATTTCTTTGAGTTCGTGTAAACTTTTATAGCTTCTCTATTACATTCTTACTTAAATACCGTATATACTTCTAATCGAGCTAGCTATACACATCTACTGTTAAACATCATTGATTGGACAGGGCTATCACTCAATGACGTTAATAAGGTTTATTCCAGTCCCAGCAACTAGTTGTTCTCATATTGATTTTAGAAAAAAAACTAGTTTCTAATACTGATCAAATTTGACAGCTTGGCGATCGCTCATGCCTTTTTTTACTGCGGTATTTCTAATAAAATTTACATTGGAGTTAAACTTTTGTTAACAAATCTAAAAGTTATATATTTTTGTCTTAAAAACTACCGACAAACCACAAAAAAATGGAAAAAAAAAACAAACAATTAACGAACAGAGAATCAAAGGAAAGTGAGCTTAAATTAAGACACGTCTTAAATGCTTGTGTTAAGTTTATTATATCAAGCTACGTTATCAAAGTGTTCTATGAACAAAAAAATTGATACATGTTTTTCCTTTAAGCACTTATGTTCTACAATATTAGTTGAGTTATAATGAAGGTATTTTTTTATTATCACATTAAAAGTAATTACATGACAGAAGTTTATATTTATCAAACATGTTCAATTATTTTTGTTTTACTGCAAACTTGATTTTG